CTCCGTCTAGTCCGGTCGCTGCGTCGTGCTCCTGTCGGTCGCTTGCCCACCCCACCGTTTTGTGGCACCACCGGCTGGGGCACCCTTCTCCTCCTCGTCTTCGCGCTATGTCTCGTCAGCGTCTTGTCTTAGGTCTCCCGCGTGTCTTGCCGTCGCTGCCGCCGTCCCTTGCACCACCGTGCGGTCCTTGCGTCGAGGGTAGGCTGCGCGCCACCCCTCACTCCTCCTCCCTTCGTCCGGCCACCGAGCCTTTTGAGACGCTGCACTTGGACGTCTGGGGCCCCTCTCCTCGCCCTGGCCCTGAGCGTGAGCGTTTCTTTTTGGTGGTCGTTGACGACTACTCCCGCTACACCACAGTGTTCCCCCTGGCGAGGAAGTCTGAGGTGACTTCTACGCTGATCAGGTGGTTGCTTACCACCCAGGACACTCGTGGTCGTCGTGTCAGCTGTCTCCACTCCGACCGCGGGGGCGAGTTTCGCTCCGGCATTCTCGCTGGATTCTGTCGCGAACAGGGCATTCGTCAGTCCTGGACGCTTCCGGAGTCCCCACAGCAGAATGGGGTTGCTGAGCGTCGCATAGGCCTGGTCATGGAGATTGCCCGCACCTCCTTGACTCACGCCCGTGCCCCCCATTTCCTGTGGCCATACGCGGTCAGGTACGCCGCGCACCAGCTGAACCTCTGGCCACGCGTCTCTCGGCCGGAGGCTTCACCGACCAGTCTTTGGACAGGGTCCCCTGGTGTCGCGTCGAGGTTTCGTGTCTGGGGGTGCTTGGCTCTTGTCCGCGACACCTCCGCGGACAAGCTCTCGCCTCGCGCCGTTCCTTGTGTCTTCCTTGGTTTCCCTGAGGACTCCTCTGACTTCACCTTTTACCACCCTCCCTCTCACCGGTTCTTTGACTCCCGTGACGTCCGTTTCGAGGAGTCCACCCCCTACTACGTCAGGTACCCCAGTCGAGGTCTCCCGGTCCCTCCCCCCCCTCTCTTCCTGACCGCCGCTCCCCCGCCTGCTCCCCCGGTACAGCCTCCCCCCCCTGGTCCAGCCCCGTCTGGTGTGTCTCAGGCTAGCCCTCCCCCTTCGGTAGCCCCCCCTGTACAGCCTCCCTCCCCACAGTCTTCCTTGCCGCCTCCTGCAGGTGCTCCCTCTCGGGAGGTTGGTCCTGCGACTGTCCCTGTACAGGTCTCTGGTTCTGGGGGTGCTGGAGTTGGAGCTGAGCCGCGGGTTGCAGAGGACTCTTGTCTTCCGGGGGCTGGTACTGGTCGTGCGGAGTCTGGGGGTGCTGGTGCGGAGTCTGGGGGTGCTGCGTCTGGGGGTGAGGGTGTCCCTTCGGTTTCTAGAGAGCCTGGGTCTGGAGCTGGTGTTGGTGCTGCCTCTGGGGGTGGTGTACTTGGTGCTTCGGAGGTCGACTCTGGGGCTGCCGCTGCCCCGGACACTACTCCTTCCCCCCACCCCTACCCGACCAGGTTCCAGGCTCGTGTTCGCCGTGCTCGTGAGGAGCAGCTGGAGTTGGAGAGAGAGGAGAGAGAGTTGCAGCGGCTCGAGGAGCAGGAGCGACAGCAGCAGGAGCAGCAGCAGGGGCAGCAGCCGCTGGAGCAGCAGCAGCCGCAGCAGCAGCTGCCGTCTCCTCCTCCTGTCTCGGGTCTTCGGACCCTTGGTCTCCCCTCTCCCTCTCCTTCCTCCTCCCCCTCTCCTCCCGTCTCTGGTCCTCCGCTTCCTCCTCCTGACCCCTCTCCCGCTGTTTTCCCTCGTTCTCAGTCTTCGTTGTCTCCTCCTCCTTCTCAGACTTGGGCCTCTCGTCGCTCCCCTCGTGCTCGTCCCTCGTCTCCTGTTCCCTTCACTGACCTTCGTACAGCCTTCCTTTGTTCTCGTCCACCTCGTCCGTCTCCGTCTGTGCTTCCGTCTCCTCCTGAGTCGGCCCTCACTGTGTCGCTTCCTTCTCCTGTCACTGACTACTACCGCACGTACCGTCCTGTTCTCTCTCGTGTTCTCGCCTCTCTTGTTACCCACCCTCGTGCCTCTGTGTCCTCTGTGTCCGCTCTTACTGCCGCAGTCACTGACTTTGCCTCTACCCGCCGCCTTGACTTCGCCACCGCTCTTGTGGCTGCTCCTCCTTCCAGTCCTCTGGCCGTCGGGGGTGTGTCTGCCCTTGGCAGTGACGCCCTAGAGGACAGGCAGTTTGAGCTAGAGTTCCTGGCCGCCGCTTCCCCTCATCTCTGTGCCATGCTCCTCGCCCCTGAGGGTGACCCCGACGCCCTTGACATTCCGACTCCTCGCACTTACGCTGAGGCAGTGTCAGGGCCTTGGGCCTCTCAGTGGAGAGCTGCCATGGACGCAGAGATGGCCTCCTACAGATCCACAGGCACCTACGTCGATGAGGTTCCCCCTCCGGGGGCGAACGTAGTCGACGGCATGTGGATCTACAGGGTGAAGCGGCCACCGGGATCTCCTCCGGTCTTCAAGGCGCGCTACGTGGCTAGAGGTTTCAGTCAGCGCGAGGGAGTTGACTTCTTTCAGACCTTCGCGCCCACCCTGAAGATGACCACTCTTCGGGTGTTACTACACGTAGCAGCACAGAGAGACTACGAGTTACACTCTCTCGACTTCTCTACTGCTTTCCTTCAGGGCAGTCTTCACGAGGAGGTCTGGTTGCGTCGTCCCTCTGCCTTCACTGGCTCTTTCCCTCCTGGGACCCAGTGGAGGCTGAGGCGACCGGTTTACGGACTTCGTCAGGCTCCTCGTGAGTGGCACGACACCCTGCGTTCTACCCTGTCTGACCTTGGGTTCCAGCCGTCTTCTGCTGACCCGTCGCTGTTCGTTCGTCGTGGCCCCACACCTTTCTTTGTTCTGGTCTACGTTGACGACCTTGTTTTCGCCACCCCTGACAGGGTTGCTTTGGCACACGTGAAGTCCGAACTGCAGAAGAGACACACCTGCACTGATCTTGGTGAGCTGCGCCACTACCTTGGCCTGCAGATCACCAGGGACAGAGCTGCTCGCACCATTACACTTTCACAGTCGCACATGGTGCAGCAGGTCCTTCAGCGGTTCGGGCTTCAGCACTCCACAGTACAGCGCACACCTCTTGCTGTTGACCACAGACTCACTGGACCCTTTCCTGACGAGCCGTTCGAGCCTAGTGGTCCCTACGCTGAGCTTGTGGGTTGCCTCATGTACCTGATGACTTGTACTCGCCCGGACCTCGCCTTCCCTCTCAGCGTTCTTGCGCGCTTTGTTGCGCCAGGGAGACACCGTCCTGTTCACTGGACAGCAGCTGTGAGGGTGGCGAAGTACCTAGCGACGACGTCAGGCGTGGGGCTAGTTCTTGGAGGGCAGCAGTCTGTCGTACTTACTGGTCACTGTGACTCCTCTTACGCTGACGACGCTGAGACTCACAGGTCTACTCAGGGGTACTGTTTCAGCCTGGGTTCTGGAGCTGTTTCCTGGCGGTCCACGCGCTCCTCTTCGGTCTCGACCTCTACAGCTGAGGCTGAGATCTACGCTGGTGCCATGGCGGCACAGGAGCTGCGTTGGTTGACCTTCTTGCTCACCGACCTTGGTGAGCGGCCGAGCTCTGCACCGACCTTGTTCACTGACAACAAGGCGTCTATTCTCCTTTGTCGAGAGCCACGACTGGAGAGCAGAGTGAAGCACATTCACGTCAGGTACTTTCTTCTGCGAGAGTTGCAGAGGCGTGGACAGGCTCGCTTCGAGTTTGTGGAGTCCGAGGCCAACACTGCAGACATCTTCACCAAGGCGCTTCCGCCTTGTGACCACCAGAGGTGCTGTGTGCAGTTAGGCCTTGTTGACACTGGTTCTCGTGTTGCTTAGACTTGAGTGTACTGTTTACTTTGTTTTCTATATACCTCTGTTACTTCTTGGACTGGCCTTGTGGCCACTGTTGTTTGTGCTCAGACTGTGTGGTGACGTTGTGATCCACCCTGAGCTTCGTTTCTTGGACTGGTCTTGTGACCGTACTCGTTTGGTTCTGCTAGACACCCCTCACTTAGGCTATGGGGGTGTGTCAAATGTTGTAGTCTATAATGAGGTTTGTCTTAGGGGGTACAAAACTTAGGGTTAGCTATATGTACCCCAACCAACATCAATGGATCATTCATTCCTCATTCTGACAGCATTTTCCTTGAGAGTATGCACGCTAGTAGCGACGCTTATAGTCCCGCCGCGATTGACTGTGCTAAGGGTAAGTATTACTGATGTCAAGCAAAATCTGCTATGACTAACCCCTCAGAAGCAATGTCAGTGGGATACGTAACATCACGCTGTATTTGTATGTGTTGCAGAGTGTGTCTTGTTTTGCAGGCTTACCGTCAACCAGGAGTGCAGTATTATTATTATTCAAACCAAAGTTACAGCATACTCCAATACTACAAACCCCATTGGTGAGCATATAAGATTGCTTGTTTATCAAATTTCCATTTCCTTTGTTGTTCCAGTTTACATTTTTTTTTAACTGGCAGAGTGTGCAGGGCTTCTTAGCCGTGCATAATGCGTAGTGTATTACTGCTGGGTAAATTGTACTCTTTTTGTTATAAATTGTATGCCCTGTAAGATGAACGTAAAAAATATTGTTTTAATTGTTACCAGAAACGCACACCAATAGAGGAAAACCGTCAACCGAACCACGAAATTGCCAGCCAATGAAATTCGATATCGTACACCCAATTTCGTGCCGGATTGGTCCACATGGCACGTTAACGGGCGTTAATATTGTCAGGATCCGACGGTTGACGGTAGCGTACAGAAAATGCCACGTCAGCATGTTTCAGTTTCATCTAGCATACATCGTTTGCCACGTGGCGTTGTCGTGACACTTTCGCATAGGTTGCTCAAAAGTGACGGTTTCCACCCCCCTAGTTGCTTTACTGTATACCTCACAATTGTGTCAAAGTGTACAGTTTGTGTTGGGAAGGTGACGGAAAAGTCACTTCGCAAGTGACTGACGCTACCACTGTTGTCGAGTCAAACTTTTTTTTTGCGCGGCGAATGCAACTGCAAAGTTATGAAAGAGCCACTTTAAAGTTTTTTTTTGCACTTGCCTTTTCCGCGATGCAGCAGCTGGACCCTCTTGTTTCATCTCGGCGGGAAGCAGGCAGCAGCTCCGAAGCAGGCAGCAGCTCCGAAGCAGGCAGCAGCTCCGAAGCAGGCAGCAGCTCCGCAGCAGGCAGCAGCTCCGAAGCAGGCAGCAGCTCCGCAGCAGGCAGCAGCTCCGCAGCAGGCAGCAGCTCCGAAGCAGGCAGCAGCTCCGCAGCAGGCAGCAGCTCCGCAGCAGGCAGCAGCTCCGCAGCAGGCAGCAGCTCCGCAGCAGGCAGCAGCTCCGCGGCCTCCGCCAGTCAAGTGACTGCCAGCGAGCAGCACGAGGAGAACACGCGGCACTTCGGCTCCTCCTGGCCTCTGCTGCGCTGTGCCTTGGCCAGCAAGAGGCTGTTCCGCCATGTCATCTCCTTCTCCGTGAGTCATTATGCGTTGTTTCCTCCCCTTCTCCCTTCCCCTTCCCCCTTCCCCCTTCCCCCTTCCCCCTTCCCCCTTCCCCCTTCCCCCTTCCCCCTTACCCTTTCCCCCTTTCCCCTTCCCCCTTCCACCATCCCCCTTCTCTTCCACCATGTCATGTCCTTCTCCGTAGCCCTGTATGTCATCCCCTTGTGGCCAAGCTCCTCTCTAATTTGGGTGGGTGCTGGGTGGTCCCTTCCCTGTGTGAGCAGGAGCAACAGCCCATCTCCCTCGTGTTCAATAGCCAGGAGATCCAACGGTCAGGAGCGCTCTGCAGCTTCCTCAAACTCCCGGGTCACAAGTCCATTGACCTCACTTTTACCAGCTTGCCTGATCTGCAGAGCTTCGACCGGCTTATGGCGTCATCTGCTCACTTCCTCACAAGACTAAGCCTTGTGAAGACACCGACCATAGTGAAGGATTCGACTGAACAGTACGAATCTGCTCAGCACGAGCTGATCAATCCGGCCTTTCTCAAGGGGTTTCAGCAGCTGCAGCGGCTGAAGCTAGGCCGTGGGAAGTGGCAACTGGGCAATGTGGATGCGGCATGGTTCAAGGCTCTAAGGAGTCTGACCATCGCGCAGATTGATTGCGTGAAGCATGACCTTAACTTCCTGTCTTCCATCACCCCGCAGCTGCATGATTTCTCCCTTTTCTCCTTGAGGCTTAAGAGCATAGTTCATCTCTGTAAACTAACGCTTGAGTTTTCCGTTGCTCGAGCTGTCACCATCAGATTTGAGAACCAGCTGCTTGTAATCAACCTCTCCCTCCCTCCCTCTCTCAAGAGGCTTTCTATCGAGGCAGACGAGTTGGAGGTCAACTGCAAGGGCGCCACCTCTCTCTCTCTCGACTCTCTCGCCCTCACTGGCCGCATGCAGCTCATTGTTTTTTCACTCCCGCCATTAGCTTGTGCCAACACGGTCCTCTTGAATGGACCACACGTCCTGAACCATACCTTCTGGCGGTCCCTCTCCTTGACCCAGCTGCTCAGGACCATAGCGCCAACAGTGGAGACGCTTATAGTGAGGCATGGGTGGCCGCTGGAGAGTGTGGATGCAGAGTGGAGCCGCCTGCGCTGCCTTGGGATTGGCGTGGAAGGTTGGGGAAGTGGTGGGGAGAGGATAAGACCGGCTACTGTGGAGGAAAGAGTGAGGAGCCGCTGTGTGGTGGAGACGATGAGGCTTCCTTTTATTAAGTCTCGGAAGCTGGATGTGACAAGGCTTCCTTTCATTCGAGCTCCAGAGCTGGAGTGTATCTACTTTCCGACTCGGCAGTGCAAGCCCGAGATGCTGGTGTCGCTGCAGCGGCAGTTCCCATCCCTGACGTTGTACCGCATTGTTGGACGGTCGTTTCACTGGGAGGGGGAGGGGGAGGGGGGGCGGGAGAAGCGGAGCAAGCAGCCTGTCGAGCAGGAGAGGCCAGAGCTTGGTGCACACGCCATGAAGTGGGGGGACATGGAGCAGGATGATCGTGTCATGGGGTTCCTTCAAACCCTTTGAGCTTGTAAGTGCTCTGTTAGAACAGAGAAGGGTAGCCAAGTTAGTGAGTGGCTGGATTGAGTGAGAGTGAGTGAGTTACTGAAGTGATTGATTGAGTGAGTGAGTGACTGGAGTGTGGGAATGAGTGAATGGAAGTTACAGGTGTGCACCTGATGGTGATGGAAGTGGTGGGACAGCAGTGGATGGTACGGTAACAGTGGGGCTGACAATGCTGGTCAATGGTCATACGTGTTTCTCGTGTAGCTGGGACAACTGATGAAGATGCCAGTGATTGAAGTGCTTTGCTGCGACTACCGCCGCTGCTTGCTGCTGTTGCTTGCCATTGCTGTTGCTTGCCATTGCTGCTGCTTGCCATTGCTGCTGCTGCTGCTGCTGCTGCTTGCCATTGCTGCTGCTTGCCGCTGCTGCTGCTTGCCATTGCTGTTGCTTGCCATTGCTGCTGCTTGCCATTGCTGTTGCTTGCCATTGCTGTTGCTTGCCATTGCTGTTGCTTGCCATTGCTGTTGCTTGCCATTGCTGTTGCTTGCCATTGCTGTTGCTTGCCGTTGCTGTTGCTCGCCATTGCTGTAGCATGTGCTCGGTGGGCTGCCAGACTGCTTAACCCCTCTCTCTCTTTCTTTTTCCCACACTCCTCCACACTCCTCCCTTTACAGATCTTCCGCACTGGCTTTATGAAGGCGTTGCAGAGGGCGTTCGGGGAAGAGTGGTGTGCAGTGTTTGACATCCGTCCAGAAGTTCAATTTCTCTCTCTCCCCTTCCCCCACACCTTACTTTCCGTGCAGATCTTCCGCACTGGCTTCATGAAGGCACTGCAGAGGGCGTTCGAGGAGGAGTGGTTTGGGGACTTAGAAGCTGCATCGTGTGCCGCGTTTGACATTCTAGAAGACATGGCTTCGAGCGGCATGGCTGAGAAGGGCGGACAGAAAGTCATTCCGCCTGCTGCTCTGGAGATGCTCAAGAAAATGCTGCAACAGTAGCAGTAACAGTGTAGCGGCTGTGACAGGTGTAGCAACTGTAGCAATACAATAGATACCAGTGCTTAGAGGACATGGCTTCCAGCGGCATGGCTGAGAAGGGCGGGCAGAGGGTGGTTCTGCCTGCTGCCGTGGAGATACTAAAGAGCATAGAAAGAAGGGCCTGCCTTGTTTAGTCAGGTATAAGTTTTCCTGTGTGAAGCAAAGGAATGTGCGCCATGGCTTGTCTAACTTACATAAATGTATGCCCGGAGAGTTGAATGAATGGTTAAGTATGTTTCACCATCTAGATCAACTGCAGTCAAGTCACGTTGTGACTTGCAAGTGAGGCTCGAAGTCACCTTGCCATGTGTGTGTGCAATAACTAAGCAAAACATCCTATCCTAAGAAATAGTCACCTACACACATGTTCAACAGGTAACCACTACTCTATAATTTTGGTACGTGCCACCCGAGAAAAACCGCTCCGTTTTCTATGGCTCCTCAAAGACTGCCCCATTTTTATGTGCCAACCCCACACAAGCACCGCTGCGACATTCTGCTCCTCCTCTTGCCCTTCTTTCTTCCCAATGACCTGGCAGGCTGGCTAGATGGACGATGCAATGCTCGTCACATATATATATTGCCAAATCTCTCTGTCCCTTCCCCTTCCCCCTCCCCCCTTCCAGCATGTAAATGGACGAACCAATGCTCGTGGTCACACAGATGATAGCAGCTTCCCTTCCCCTTTCCCCTTTCACCCATTCCCTCTCCACCTCCTCCTCTCTCCACCTCCACCTCCAGCCCCCTCTCTTCTCTAGCCTTGCGTGTCCTGTGAACCGGGCTGACTAGCAATACCCACGACCAGCATGTAAATGGACGAAGCAATGCTGGTCACACAGATGATGGCAGCCCACACAATCATGGCCCAAGACGTCTTGCGCTCCCACCCATGCACCACCCCCGACCGGTCCCTGGCAGTGTGAGAGTAGGGGAGATGAGAGGGGAGAAAAAAGCAGAAGAGTGAATCAGGCAGACAGCAGTGAGTCAATGCTGGTCACACAGATGATAGCGGCCCGGCCCACATGATCATGGCCCATGATGTCTTGCGCTCCCACCCATGCACCACCCCTGACCGATCCCTGATGGTGGTGTGGAGAGAGAAACAGGAAGAGGGGAGGTGAGGGGGAGAGGGACAAGCAACAGTGGCACACGATCATGGGAAAAAAGTGAGCAGTGGGTATTGGGGCAGTAGAGTGGAGACTTGTCGTGAGCCCTCTCCAAAACGCCCTGAGCAAAACGAGTGGGTTTGGATCACCTTTTTAGCGTGGGGAGGCCACTAGTTGGATGGGGAACACACCTGAGAGCAATGACAGCTGGAAAAACCATTCCAATGACCATGGTAGAAGTCGCCCCCGTCAGATCAAACGCGACCCAGATGTTGGGCACGAGTGTGGCAACCAGGCAGATGCCCACCAGCTGCACTCCCGTAATAATCCAAAACCTCCGATCATCCTCCGCGAGCGATTTCTCCGCGTTGTAACAAAACAGATCGTCCGTGACGTTCCGGAGGGAGTAGTAGATGACAGGGAAGACGAGCACGACGTGCAGCGCGTAGGAGACGCGCACGACGTCGTTGAGCCACTGCTGCCCCGTGAGGACGGGCGAGGAGAAGTTGGCGAGCACGTCGGGCGCGGTGGCGTCGCCGAACAGCAGGTAGCCGCAGAGCGAGGTGAGCGTGTAGATGGCGAAGCACGTGCCCATGGAGAAACGCGTCACTGCCGTCATGTTCTGCTCCGTGCGATCTTTTAGCTCCACGTAGATGGGGTGGACTGGTGGAGAGGGGGGATGGGGGAAGACACAGCAAGGGCAGGGGGAGGCGGCAGAGAGAGGGAGATAGAGGGAGCAGGGGCAGAGCGAAGGGCAGACGAATGGGCAGAGGAAAGGAGGGAGGGCGGGAGGAGAGCGCAGAGCGAGGTGAGCGTGTAGATGGCGAAGCACGTGGCCATGGAGAAACGGGTTACCGCCGTCATGTTCTGCTCCGTGCGATCTTTCAACTCCACGTAGATGGGGTGGACTGGGGGGGGGAGAGAGGTTGGGGAGAGGGGGGCGGTGGAGTGAAGGACAGGGGCGGGCAGGGTGTTAGGACAGAGCTGACTTGAGTCATGTTCTGCTCGGTTCTGTCCTTCAGCTCCACGTATATGGGGTGGACTGGTGGAGGGGGAGGAAGAATTGGAGGAGGGGGTAGCGAGGGGATGGGGTGGGGTGGGGTGGGGTTTGCGCCGGGGGACGGGGACAGAAGGAGCGGTGGTGAAGGAGAAGGGGCGGAGGGAGGCGCAGGCAGAGGAAGGGGCAGGCAGAGGAAGGCGCAGGCAGAGGGAAGGGCAGTGGAAGGGGGAGAGGGAGGGTGGCACCTGGTGTGGGTGACACCTGGTGTGGGTGACACCTGGTGTGGGTGGCACCTGGTGTGGGTGACACCTGGTGTGGGTGGCACCTGGTGTGGGTGACACCTGGTGTGGGTGGCACCTGGTGAGGGTGGCACCTAGTGCGGGTGCTACCTGACAAAAAGGTTGCTCACTGTTGAAGTGGCAGACGTAAGCAGTGGCCATGACACGACCTGGTTACAGGCACAATGAGGGAGGCTGTACCTGGTAAGGGTGATACCTGGTGGGAGCATCACTCACTGTTGAAGTGGCAGACGTAAGCAGTGGCCATGACCTGAACACACACAGACAGGCACGACACAATCGGGAAGAGCGGAAAAGAGGGAGACGATGAGGGGGTAATGGAGGCACGGAGGCAGGACGGGACAGTAAAGAGGGAGAATTGGGCGGTGCAGAGGGAGGCACGGAGGAAGGCAGGACCGGCAGGGAAGGGAGGAAGGAGTGGGAAGCAGGGAAGGGAAGGAAAGGGAGGGAGGGAAACAGTTTGGCAGGGAGAAAAAGGTTGGGAGGGGGGAAGGGGAGGGAAGGGCATGAGAGAGAAGGGCAGGGGAGCGTACGGGGAAGACGGAGCAGAGAGCAGCGAAGAAATGAGGCGCGCTGACGAAGGGTAACCAGCGCGGCGAAGGGAGAGTGCCGTCGACCAACTTGATGATGGTGATAACGAGAGTGATTACAACGAAGACGACCGCTAGAATGACGGCGATTGCTGACGAGTACTGCAGTGAATCTGACGGCGAGGTGGATGGGGGAGAGGAATGGCGGCGGAAAAGAGAGAACAGTCATTTGGTGAATGTGATGTGGCGAATGTGACGTGGCGAATGTGATGTGGCGAATGTGACGTGGCAAATGTGATGCAGAATGTGGCATGCTGCACGTGATGCAAAGATGTGCCGAATGCGGAGTTCTGATATTGAAGCGGTGGGTGTCGTGAGGTATATTTGATATGCGGCGTTTCATGTGGTGAATACGGCACTCCGGCGAAAGTCGTGTTGTGCATGGGCAAGCATAATTTCCGATATCCTTGCGAACTTCTTTTGAGGCGACTCGAAAGCGGATATCGTGTGGTGCATGGGCAAGCGTCATATCCGTCATCCTTGCAAGCTTCTAGCAAATCCATGTCGCGCAGATTCACGCCGTGAGATAACTTATCGTAACCCACTCTTTTCCATGCGACTCACCGACGTGACGGAAGGATGCCAGCGGGATGAGCACAACGAGCGTGACAATAACGAGTACAAAGAACCGCGTGTTCCACCACGCGGCCTCCCCGCCGTTCCACTCTTTCAGCAGGCCCGGATGCGCCGAGCCTATACTGGACCACGTCCCCGCTAGCACGTCCGCGATAATAATCAAATACACGACGCACAACCCGATGTTGTTAATGAGGACGGCAATATCGAGTACGAGCCTCCACTTGGGCCCGCATTCCTGCAGCACCAGATCGCCGTATGACCACACCTGCTGCACCGTCGTCGTTTTAATCAGTAATTCCAGGGATACTTGCGTTAATATCCCCATGGCGACGAGCGCGATGATCCCGAGGGGGATCCCCAATATGCGCATCGTTCCAGGAAGGCCCATGATTCCCGCGCCGACCACGGTCGTCACGAGGTTAAAAACGGCGGAGGAGAACGAGGCGCCTTTGAAGCCGTGGCGGCCTGCGCCCATGTCGAGGAAGCGGTCCTGGCTGTGCAGGATCGGGTGCGGGGAGGCGGAACCAGCGGAATCTGTGGAGCGGAGGGACGAGGAGTCCTTTCCGCCGTCCGCGGACAGCGATGAGCCATAGTCGGAGAATGCCGGGCCCTGGACAAGCTCTATGGCCGACATTGTCACGAGCGAGTGGCGACTGACGTGCGACGACTATCTTTGTGCGACGCCAGACGTGTGACTCCTTGTTATTGAACAGGAGAAAAAAACGTCTACTTCTATTACCCTTGCACGCCAAATCTGCTAAATCGTGGAATGATAACCGTTTGCAGGAGTTCGTTCACTAGAAGTCTCAAGCCACGGCCACTGAAGAGCTGAACGATTTCTCACTCGTGAAGGCTGGAACTGGAATTCTTGGTAGATTCAAGTTGCCGACCAAGCAGAAAGCAGCTTTCAAGGCAGCGCCACTGGGAACTGACCGAAAGAGCGGTTGAGTGGAATGACTCACACTGACCGACTGACCCGCTGACTGACTGCTTGCGCGCAAACTGAGGGGAGGGGGGGAAGGGAGAGGGGAAGGGGGGTGCTTCGGGATTGCGGGGGCGGAAACTCCAAGGCAACGAGGAGGGGAGGAAGGGGGGGTTAGCAGAGGGGGACCCGCGAAAGCTCGCCAATGTGGGAATGGGGAAATCTGAGATTTGGGATTTTCCCCGCGCTGAGGAGATTTCAAGGGGAAGCCTTGCCCCAGGCTGGCCGGTATAAACGCGGATAGACTTGGCTCTGGGCTGATCCCAAGGGTGTGGAAACCTGCGCTTCGGTGGCTGAACGAGCTTCTTATTGGCTCGCTATTCCCTGTGATGGCTCGGCCCGAACCACAGGGTGCTTGCAGAACGGCCAGGGGTGAAGGTCTGATTTTCGGGCAAGAGCGATTCGGTTTATGGTTCTGACGCGACGGTCTGACCGGAAATATCCTGGTAAAAAACCGCGAGTTCTGATCGACGACTGTCAGCGCGTCAAGCACCAACACGATAAGCATCCTGCCCGTTGAACTCGGCACAATTGAAAATCAACAGCGCTGTTACCCTTGTCAGAGCCGGGCACCTGACCTGACAAGTAGGCGAGGACTAGGGAAAACTTGTACTCTATACAGAGTACAATAATCTACAACCTCCTTCACACTGGAAGCTGAACTTTTCGTTCACTGCTTACGCCCGAATTTTCCAATCAACCTCACATTTCACAATCCCATACCCCCTCAAAACCCTATTTCCTAGTCTTCAAATTCGGAAAGCATGCTACATCACTCCAATCGGTTTCTTGTTTCCGTCTTTCCAGCAAGCTACCCACTACTGTACTGTCAATAATTCCGTCTAGCTGTCGTCTGCAACTAGCAGCATGGCCGCGGCTCCAGATGACGACTTCCCTCCGCTAGTTGCGCAAGAGGCTGCAGCGCCATCCGAGCTCCCCCACCCGAAACCCGCGTGGGGAGCGCCCCGCGCAGTGTCCCTGCGCGAATCCCTCCGCGAATCTGCGGAAGCGGATCAAGGCGGATCCGGGAGCTCCGCCGCTTTCTCTAACGGAGCCAATGCGGTCTCGAGCGGAGCTGACGTGGCATCAAGCGGGAAACTTGCCAGCGGGTCTAGCGCGGACGCTGCCCCGCGCGGGCAGATACATTCCGCGTCCGGCGCCGCCGCTTCTGGAGCGGTTCAGTGTCTTGTAGTGGACGCGAATGTTCTTATATCGGGGACGGCCTCGTTACAGAAATTTGCCAGCGAGGCAGAGATTGTGACTGTACGCGAGGTGCTGGCGGAGGTTCGGGATCGCACCGCGCGGCAGCAGCTGTCCGTTCTCCCCTTCGATATCAAATGTCGAGAGCCCAGTGATGAGGCGATTAAGGAGGGTACGTTAAGGAGCACAAGGGGTTTAACGAGGGTGCGCGGAATCAGGAAGGTAGTCTTCTAAAAAGATCGACTATCCCTTCAGATGTGTCGTTCAAGGTTGCCCAGGGTTTAGGTTTATACGTACTTTCCGCAACTGCATTCTGCGCGGCTCCTCAACTCAATGGCTCAGATCAGGTTCCCCCCCCCCCCCCCCCTTCTCCCCTCCCCACCGCCTCCCCGTAACCCCCTACCTTTTCCCCCCCAACTTCCCCTTCTCCCTTCCCGCTGCTTTGTTTCCGCCTCCCCCAGTACTCCGCTTCGCGCGCGCCACGGGTGACGTGGGCACTCTCTCCGCCGTCGATTCCAAGCTGCTGGCGCTCGCAGTGACAGAGGAGATCCGATCTCACGGCCGCGCGAATCTCCGCGCCGCCCCCGCCCGCCCGGTGTTTCAGAAGAGGACAAGCGTCGCGATGCGCCAGGCGCTGCCCGGGTGGGGCGCGGAAAACGTGGCGAATCCGGACGAGTGGGCGGGGATCGATGCAGTGGCGGACGATGGGGGGAGGGGGAAGGGGAAGGGGAAGGGAGTAGGTGGATCGCGGATATTAGGGGTGAGGGCTTTGGCGGAGGAGGATGAGAACGCGGAAAGGGAAGAAGGGCGGGAGGAGGCGGGGGAGGGGAAGGCGGGTGAGGAGACGGGTGGTGGGGAGGCGGAGACTGGGGGGAACGGGGGCGCGGAGAGTGTGGAGGCGGAGCTTCAGCAGATGCACTTGGGGGAAAATGGGGGAGCGGGGGAAGCGGGGGAAGGGGGGGAAGATGGTGCGCGGAAGGGCGGAGCAGGTGGGGAAGCGGATCAGGCGGGGGAGATGCCCGGGTGGGGGACAGTTGGCGGGGGAAGGGGGAGAGGCGGGGGAAGAGGGCGGGGAGGACGCAGATGGGTGCCTCGGGAAATAAAGCCGTTAGTAGCTGAAGAGCGGTTCGAGGGGAAACTAGTAGTGGCTGGGGTAGACGCTTCTAAGCGAGGAGAGCCTGCTGACGTGGCGGGAGGGCATGCTGACTCAGCAGGGCGAACAGCAGGAGAGGAGGGAGAGGGAGAAGGCGGGGAGGGAGAGGGGGGAGCAGGTGAGGAGGAGGGGGAGTGGGAGGCGGCAAGGGGGAAGAGCGGGCGGCGGAAGTGGAAGCGCAGGGCGGGGAAGCGCGCAGCCATGGAGGAGCTGGCGCGGATTGCGCAGGAGCAGGCGGAGCGCGCAGCCGCGCTGGCGGGGGGGACGCCAGCGATGGGGGGAAAGGCGTCTGCGCTGGCGGGGGGAACGCCCGCGATGGGGGGTGATGGTGGCGGGGAGGAGGGGAAGGGTGGGGAAGAGGAGAGAAATGATGGAGAGGAAGGGGGAAATGTTGGGGATGAGGAGAAGCAAAGCGGCGGTGTGGGTGATGCGGGTGTGGGGAGAGAGGAGGACGAGGAGGAGCAGGAGAAAGGTGGGGAAGTGAATGAGGGAGAAGGGGAAGGGGAGGAAGAAGAGGGAAGGGGAGGAGAGGAGGATGAGGAAGGAGAGGAGGAGGAGGGAGAGAGGGAGGGCGAGGATGAGGGAGAGGAAGAGGAAGGAGAGGACGAGGGTAGTTTGGATGATGGCAGTGAAGCAGAGTCCACGTCATCGTCATCATTATCCACGTCAGCAGTGGCCCTGATGACGTCAGACTACGCCATGCAGAACGTGGCACTGCAGATGGGCCTGCGCCTGCTCTCCGCCCAATCAGGGATGCGCATCGCCCAGGTGCACAGGTGAGCCGTCAGGTGAAAATGCAGGTGCACAGGTGAGCTTTCAGTTGAAATTTAGGTAGCTCAAGTCAGCGTCCAAGTAAAACTCAGGAGGCCAGGTGCCTTTCGGTAGCTTTCAGGTGTCTTCAGGATGAGCCTACTGCTGAGCAGGTCTTACCTATCCTTCACCCCTTCTTTTCTCCCCTCTCTGTCTCCCGTCCCTTTGCTCCTTTGCCTCCTTTTCCGCCTTGCTGCCTGCTGTTTGCCCATTACCCTCTGCCTCGCCTCTCCCTCTCACTGCAGGTGGGTGCAGCGCTGCTCTGCCTGCTCTGCGGTAACACCCGACATGACACGTGTCTTCTGTCCTGACTGCGGAAATGGCACCACACTCAACAAGGTGAATCTAACCACTCCCGTGCACACTCGCACTCTCTCCCCGTTCTCCCACACACACACGCTCTCTCGCCTGCGCCGCCCAACATGACGCGGGTCTTCTGCCCTGGCTGCGGCAATGGCACCACTCTCAACAAGGTGAGCACTCACCAAAGGCCACAGCACCTCTCCTTCTCCTGGAAATCATATTCCCCCCTTTCTCTCCCCATTCTCTCACACACACATGCTCTTGCCATGCTCTCTCATACTCACTTGAACACTCACTCTCATGCTCTCTCATACTCATTCTCTGTGCGTTGCTCTTGTGGCAGTGACAATGGGAATGGATGGTGTGGGGCATGATAATGACAGTGGGTGCTTCCCTCACTTTCATACTCCATCTCCCCGCTTCTCCCTCATCTCACACCATGCAGGTGACAGTGACGGTGGGAGTGGATGGCGTGGTGCATGCAGGTGTGCGCAAGAGGCACAACATTCGAGGCAGCAAGGTGAGACCAAGGGAGGGGGGGAGTGTGGTGGTGCCGCTGCTTATACACAAAGAACAAGGGAAAAATCTCTTACGCTCTTGTGCCTCATCCTGTTACCCTTTCCTTTCCTACCCTAACCTTCATCCCTTATGTACTTGCATGCAGTTCTCCCTGCCCATGCTCAAGGGAGGCAGGGCAGGAGCAGCCAAGGACCCTGTCTTAAAAGAAGACCAACTCCTTCCCAAAAATGCGCTCACTCTTCTAAGTTTAAACTCACGTGTGCCTGACCTTATCGCACGTGCTCCTGTTTCTACCCCAACCGCTGTTCCTTCCTCCCTGTACTCTGCAGTTTTCCCTGCCCATGCCGAAAGGAGGGCAGGGCAGGAGCGGCCAAGGACCCTGTCTTGAGAGAAGACGAGCTGCTTCCCAAAAACGGAAGGAGGCGATTCATCAAGAAGAAGGGCAAACCCACCGACGTACTGGCGCCTGCCTCACTCTTCTCAGTTTTACTCTCGTTGGTCTAACTCTATCGTTCGTTCCCCAACCCATGTTTCTTCCTCCCTGTGTTCCCCAGTTCTCCCTGCCCATGCCCAAGGGCGGCAGGGCAGGAGCAGCCAGGGACCCTGTTCTCAGAGAAGACCAACTTCTTCCCAAAAACAGAAGGAGGTGATTCACCAAGAAGAAGGGCAAACCCACCGACGTGCTGGCACCTGGCTCACTCTCTTCAGTTTTTCTCTCATGTGTGTAACTCCATCGTTCGTGCTCCTGTTTCTATCCCAACCCCTGTTGCTTCCCCCCTGTGTTCCGCAGTTCTCCCTGCCGATGCCAAAAGGAGGCAGGGCAGGAGCGGCCAAGGACCCTGTTCTCAGAGAAGACCAACTTCTTCCCAAAAACGGAAGGAGGCGATTCACCAAGAAGAAAGGAAAACCCACTGACGTGCTGGCACCGGACTTTGTGACGTTCTTTGATGAGGTGGGCGAGGGCAAGGCCGGGGGAGGCGGGGCTGTGAACAGCAGGGCAGTGGTGGCGACGATTGCAGCGGGAGGGGATACGAGGAGGATGGCTGTTGCTTTGGGGTTGAAGATCAACCCGAACAGGGTGAAGAGGGGCGGGAAGAAGTGAGCGCTGCCCTATTTGTTGGTTACGGTGGTGGCGGGGGTGGGGGGGGAAAGATACGAGGAGAATGGCTGTTGCTTTGGGTTTGAAGGTTAATCCCAACCGAGTGAAGAGGGGCGGGAAGAAGTGACTGTTTTCAGGCGGCTTCAGTGGGGGCATGGTCTTTGTAGGGCCTCAGCAGACAGGGGTGTGGTGTGTGGGAAGTGGGGGAGAGAGTGGATAGGCTTTTCTGAGATCGAGGAAAGAAGAGGTTGGTTTCTGAAGGAAGTGGATTGTGATATCGTCGTTTTATATCTGCATTCGTAGTCATGACCAGTACTGTAGTAATCTGAACAAGGTTTTGTAGTATATGCAAGTGCTGTGTTTATACACCATGACAAGTATACATCACAGTTATTCATCAGCCCACTCATGCCGCTCTCGCAAACGAACGTCCAACGTACCACATCCTGATCACCCAAGAGAATACTCGAGAACAGCACTTCACATGTGTGACTTGCTAACGGGACGAGCAGCAGCAGCAGCTGGAGCAGCAGCAGGAGGAGGAAGAGGAGCGCAGCAGGAGGAGTGACAGGAGCAGCAGGAGCAGGAGCCGGCGGAGGGTTAGGAGAAACACCAGGAGAACGAGAGGAGGAGCAGGCGACATGCGTACGCGTGGAGGAGAGCCGAGGAGGAGCACACTTGATTCCCATTAGGTCAGAGGGCCAGGCCGTCCGTACAAGTGTAACGATCGCCCTGGTTATTAAAGTGGGCACGGACTCGATTAGACCGGGGGAGGCGGGGACGCCACCGTGGTCGTGGGTGGAGGGGGGGAAGTTGAAGCAGTGGGCGGCGGGGGAGAGGTGGTAGCAGCGGGGGGCGGAGGAGAGGTGGTAACTGCGGGGGGCGGCGGGGAGGTGGTAACCGGCGTGGGCGGAGGGGGAGAGCTGACCACAGGAGGGGGAAGGCTGGGGGAAGCTGGGGGGGTCGGAGGCGGAGACTTGGGCGGAGACTTGGGGGAAGGCGGGGGCGGGGACGCACTGTCGTCACCGTCATCGTCGCCGTCATCCGCGGGCGGGGCGCGGTAGACGTCATCGGGAATGAGGAGCGAGTCGACGAGGTGCAGTTGGAAGGAGGTGGTGTTGGCTAGGTTGGGTGCGATCATCGTTGATTTCGACCGCCCGCTGCCCGACCGAAACACGACCGTGAAAAACGCGCTCTCGTCCGACTTGAACACGGGGCGCTTCGCGAGCGTCGCGAACTGTTGTTCGCACGGGATTGGCGAAGGGGGAACAGAGGGGAACGCAGGGGAGAATAATATGCATGAGAATAGGTGCAGGAGTGGGGGTGGGTGGGGGGGAAGGGAGGTGTATGCGACTCAGACACTTACTTACAGACAAAGATCTCCACATCCCGCATGAGTTTTCAATCGTCATGCACAAAGAAAATGCGGCACACTCTAACTCATCCGTTCCTATACGGCATGTGATCCGCTACAAGCATACCTTTCTATTAGCCGCGAACTCAACGAGCTGCGTATAGTCAAACTTGTTTCCGAGGATCATGTGATATCGGAGCGTGGCGCGCGCGAGCAACGGGTTGTTGATGTAAGGCGACGCGGGCGGCAGCGACTGCAGCGCGTCGGGGGACGGCACGAGGAAGGTCGCGCCGTTGGTGCCGGCCTTAACTGTCGCCTCGAGAAGCGTCGCCAGCAGACCTGCTTTTTGGAAGAACTCTACGAATTGCTTCTGCTTGCTCAGCGACATCACCAGCGTAAACACCTTCTGCGCGTCAGCGAGGTTCACCATAGCGGGTCCGCTGTCCCCGGCTTCCGCCTTCTTCTTCCTCTTCGGAATAAGCCGCTTGATTAGCCCCCTTTTCTTTTTGTCTGGCGCCGGTGAGCTTGTCTTGGGTGGCGAGGAGTTCTTTGGCGGGGATGAGGATTTCGGGGGAGATTTTACGGGGGGCGATTTCGCCGGGGGCGATTTTGTTGGCGACGATTTTGGCGGCGATTTATCGCTCGAAGTCGACAGCGGAGTCGCGGTCGATCCCGCTGCATTCGTCTTTGATAAAAGCTCTCTGCCGCTCATCTCGCTGCTTGCTTCCAGCTGAGTGGGTAAAAGCGACGCGGCCATGGAATGCCGACCCAGCGCGCATGGCGCGGCGCTTAAAGCTACGACGGTTAGAAGGAAAAGGCACGCCCGAAAGGTTGGTAGCGGAAGACCCGCCATGGGTGCTAACGCGAAGTGCTGGAATATGCGAAGGACTTCGACGGACTTGCGAACTATCAGTAAAGGCCGTTGTTATAGGGTCCTTGTTGACTATCACAGATTCCTTGCTAGTTAACGGGATGCATCTGGTATAGTCCTAGCGTAGTGGCATAATGTGGTACGTCTACGAGTTTCTACTCTGGTGCAGGAAGAAGTGTAAATACTGAAGGGCGGGGCCTGAAGCCTCGAGGTTGTTGTGATGTTCGACCAGACGTACGCCAGCCTGCGCGCCAGTTACGAAAGGCAGGCAATTCCTACTGCGATGTGCAGCGATCAGGTTTTTCTAAGGCCTCTGTGTCGGCTATCTGCGCTCCGATGTGCATGTGGGATTCGCTTTCTGCTGGTGATAGCTGGTGGAGAAAAAAATCCTAGAAGCTAGGTGCAATGAAACGGCTAGTGTTTTGATTGTGAGCTTTCTTCGAATGGATGGGATATGCTGTGCAAGTGGGGCGATACGTGTGCTTGTTTGCGAAGTTTGAAGAAAGCGATGGGAAACCGAGTAGCCACGATGCACAAAGCAGATCTAAGAGGGAGATGGCCCGCCCGAGTCGCATAAATTTCAATGTGAGAACCGAGCCGCGACATTGGGCGCAAAACCACGGAAAGGTGATATGAGAGGCTCCGCATCTCGCGCAACCAATATGGGGTCCGTAAGGTGATGTGGGCTCCCCCTGTCGGTGCCCTCGTGGCACAAAAACGAGATTCTTGAAGTGTCGGCCAGGGGGGGTGTCGGAAATTCTGACAGCCGTCAGGCATTATCGTAGCTGTGTAATGAACGTGATTACAAGCCCCCTTCTAAGCGACAAGGGTATTGAAAAGAGTTGTATGTGTTATGCTAACCCCTTTCATCTTTGTTCCAACGCTTCTTGATCATTTTGAGCATGCATGTGTTATTGTTACGAGTGCAATTGAGGGAGCGAACGAAGATTGCACTATCGAAGCAAGAGTACAATGAGCGAAGGCATGAGCGAAGGATTATATAGCGAAACTGCAACGGTAACGGTAATGTGTGAAAATGGGGTGCGCGACGGGCCTAGCGCCGTGGTTGGGAATTGTCGAGGCGAAGGTCCGGAGCGCGGGTTACCAACCGAGCCGTGAGGTTGGGTCGCGTCGTGAACAGTGGCGGGAACAGTACCGAGGCGAGTGTCGCGAGTGGTAACGGATTACTGTTGGGTGCTGTTGGCGGGAACAGTGCTGTACGCGCTGAGCAGGGACGCGAAGTAAGGAAAAGGAATTTTCCTTACACTACCCCCCCCCCCCCCTAAGGAGGTCCTCCTTACGAGAGCGCGTGTACATCCCGGAAATTGCGGCTTCGCAGGTACTCGGTGAGGACAGGGTGATTCTCAATTCTGTCCAGGGGAACCCAGTTGTCCTCCGTGGGCGTGCGATCTTTCCAGCGGATCAGGAATTCGATTCTGCGGGCTCCCCGTGGGTCACGTACTCGATGGCTTAGGATTTTCTCAGGCGTGATGATTGGCTCCGTTGGTGGTCGTGTCATGCTGGCTGGGCGGTTGCGAGGCAGTTGGCTGGTGGATGGCACGTATGGGCGGAGCAAGCTTACGTGGAACGAAGGGCTGACGTACCAGTCAGCAGGGAGGAGGAGGTGGGCGGTGACAGGTGTGATCATGTGGCTAATGCAAAATGGCCCACAGTATCGGGGGCGGAGTTTCGGGGTGACGGGTAGGCGGAGGTTGTGGGTGTCGAGTAAAACTAGGTCGTCGGGCTGGTAAGTGACGGGGCGGCGGTGTCTGTCGGCGTTACGCTTAGCGATGACGTTTGATTTTTTTATGGCTTCTGCTGCTCGGGTCCGGGCTTCCTGTAATATTTCGGCGAACTGTTGTGCACGTGGAACGGGGTTGTCGGGATTCGGGGTCATGGGTACTGTGGGGTCTTGTCCGTAGTTCAGGTAAAAGGGTGACTGTTGGGTGGTGGCGGATGGCGAATTGTTGTAGGCGAATTCAATGAGTGGCAGTTGCTGTTCCCAGGTGGTTGGATCGTCACACGTGGCTCGGATGAGTTGCTCCATGGTCTGATTGGTCCGTTCTGTCTGTCCGTCAGTTTCGGGGTGGTATGATGAGCTGAACTGTAGTCGCGTGCCAAACTGCTGCCACAGGTTTCGCCAGAAGTTGCTGGTAAATTTCGTGTCGCGGTCGCTGATGATTGCTGCTGGTATCCCGTGCAGTCGTACGACGGTGGCGATGAAGAGGCGGGCTGTTTCTTCGGCTGTGATCGATTTCTTGCAGGCTGCGAAATGCACCATTTTTGTCAGTCGATCGACGACGACCATGATCGCGTCGTTCCCACTCGCTCCGGCCGGTAACCCCGTGACGAAGTCCATCGTCACCTGCTGCCACGCACGCTCTGGGGGTGGTATCGGTTGCAACTGTCCTGCCGGCCGCTTCCGTGACGATTTCATAAGTTGGCAAGTGGGACACGATGCCACGTGTCGCTGTACGTCGGTCAACATCTCGGGCCAGTAATAATACCGCTGCAGCTGCTGCCGTGTTTTTTCTACCCCAAAATGTCCCGAGGTAACTCCGTCGTGTGCCTCCTGTAGCAGTAATTCCCGTAGCAAGGTGTATCCTGGTACCCAAATGCGGTCAGTTCCGGTTTTTACGTAATAGACTCCTCGTGCTGTTGCGAACTGCTGCGAGTTTCCTCCGGTGAAGAAAGGGTCTGTTTGATAACTGTGGGTAAACAGTCCTGTTAACAGTGGGCTGGTCTGGGCGAGTAGGATTGCGTGGATGTGGGCGGTGGGGCGGGTCAGTGCGTCTGCGAGGTTGGATGCTCCCTTTTTGTAGGTGACCGTGTAGTGAAAATTGGACTCGAGGAAATCGAGCCAGCGAATCTGTCGTGGGTTGAGGTGAGGCTGTGCGCGAAGGTACTGTAGTGATTTGTGGTCTGTCCGTACTGTCACGTCTGCGCCGGTCAGGTAGCAGCGCCACACTTTGAACGCGTGCACGATCGCGAGCATTTCGCGGTCGTGTATCGGGTAATTCTTCTCGGGCGGATGCAGTTTTCGTGACTCGTATGCGATGGGCTGTAGGCCGTTGCCGAAATCTTGTAGCAGTACTGCTCCAATAGCGATGTCGCTCGCGTCTGTAACTACTTCGAATGGGCGGTGTGGGTCGGCAATGCGCAGGACGGGCGGTGAACAGAGAACAGTTTTCAGGGCAGAGAAGGCAGCTTGCTCTTTCTCCCCCCACGTAAAAACGACCCCCTTCCGCAGCAAATCCGTCAGTGGGGCTGTTAAGCGGGCCATGTCGGGGACGAACCGACGGACGTAATTAACAAACCCCAAAAAACTCTGCAGCTCGGTGATGTTGGTCGGGGGGTGCCATGCCTTGACCGTATCCAGCTTCCGTGGGTCAATCTCAACCCCAGCCTCCGAAATGATGTGTCCCAGAAACTCTAACCTATCCTGAAAGAAGTCGCACTTAGACCCCTTGGTCAGTAACCTATGCTCCTCTAAAATCTTAAACACTGCTTCGAGGTCCGCTAAATGCTGCTGCTTATCGCGACTGTAGACGATGATATCGTCGAGGTAGACTATCACGCACTTATCTAAAAGCGGCCTAAACGCCTCGTTCATGGTCATTTGAAATGTCGCAGGTGCGTTGGTCAGCCCGAAGGGCATTACGGTGTACTCGAACGACCCGTATCTAACCCTAAAAGCTGTCTTGGCACAGTCCGATGGTTCGACCCGAATCTGGTGGTAACCTCCCCGTAGATCTATTTTCGAAAAAACCCGTGCTGTTCGCAGTTGGTCGATCAGTTCGTCGGCGCGGGGGATGGGATATCGCGATTTAACTGTAACCCTGTTGAGCGCTCGGTAATCGATGCACATGCGAAACCCTCCGTCTTTTTTCGGTGTGAACAGTATCGGTGCGGCGAATGGTGACGAACTCGGTCGGATAAACTGCTTCTCTAACAGGTAATCTAACTGCTTCCTCAGTTCGTCGAGCTCTGGTTGTGTCAGTCTGAACTGGCGCTGTACGGTTGGCTGTGCCCCCGGTTCTAGTTCTATCCTATGATCGTGCGCCCGCTGAGGTGGCAGTCCCGCTGGTAAGTCGTCGGGAAATATCCCCGGGTACCGTTTCAACAGCTCCTGTAGTTCGGGCGGTACCGCTGCCAGCAGTTTCTGAAAATCGCTCGGCTGCTCGGCTTCTCCCACTACTGCGATGTCCACTGCGTACACGTCAGCTCCAGCGGCGACTGCCCGTTTCATGGTGATGGCGTTGACGTGGACCGTTGAAGACTCAGGCGACTGCCAGCGTGGTAGTTCGACCCAGTTTCCACTACTTCGCACAGTGCAGCTGCCTGTCGTCCAGTCGATTCGCGGGTTATACCGTCGCAGCCAATCACGTCCTAGTAAAATATCGTGCCCATCCAGTGTCGTCGCGAGCATTTCCTGTGTAAACCCGAAGTTCCCCCCGCAGCGAACTTTTACCCTCTCCACCTTTTCCCGTATGGCCAGCGGCGTGCCGTCGACTAAGCGTGCGTCTACCTCAGGTAAGCACCGGCTGAGTGTCAGTTGCAGTTTCCGTGCGGTTGCAGTATTAACTAAGCTATGGCTTGCTCCTCCGTCGATAAAAATCTTCACTGCTGCTCCCTGTATTTTCCCGTAGATCAGTATTGGGCAATCCGTCGCTGTACCCTCCTTATTCATCCGAGCCCGATCGATGGCGTGAATCGGTACTGTGACTCGGTGAGGGTCGGTGCGGTTGGGCGAGCAGGCAGTCTCGTCAGTAGTTGGCCCAATTTCTACTGACTGCTGGCGTTTCCCTGTCTCTGAGACTCCCTCCCCTGCTCTGCTCCACGGAGCCTCAGCTCCTCTGGGCACTCACTCTTGCGATGGCCCGGCCTGTTGCAAGCAAAGCAGCGCCCCTTAAACGGCGCGGCAGCTGCATTCGTCGCAACGGCGTGTACGGTGGCGTGCTCGATCGATCCCCGAGGACGATGTCCGTAGTAGGACCCCGGTCTCGGTCGGCGCAAAATGTCGATTTTCTCGGCGAGCGCGAGAATCTCGTTGAAGTTCGAGAGCCCGCGTAGCATGATTTCCTGCGAGATTTCCGGCTTCAGCCCTCCGACGTAACGGTCCACCCGCTCCGCTTCGTGCATGTAGCCGACCTGCTCGCATAATGCGAGAAAACCGCTCGTATAGTCTTGGACCGATCCGAGCTGCCGCCAAGTGCGCAGTTTCTGACGCGCCGAAATAGAAGCCGCGATCGGCTCGAAGCGCGCCCGAAGCCCTACGCACCACGCATCCCACGTGCTGTACTGGGCGGTTTCGCAGAATGAGCTCCAGGTGACTGCTGGACCCGCGGGCCCTTCCTCTTGCGACGGTGGCTCGTAGGCGCGTGGCGACGTCACGATGACTCGCCACCAGTCCATAGCGGGGCCCCTCAGCAGCGAAACGGCGTATCGGATCTTCGCTGCGTCCGACTCGACGTAATTCGCGTCGAAGAAGACGTTCATCGTGAAGATCCACGATTGAACCGTCGGACCCCCACGCTGGCTCGGGTCGAAACAGGGCGGACGCTGCGGCTTGAGTGGCATTGGCGCCATGATTGCCTGATCGGCGCTTGTTGCCGCAAATTCCACATGTCGACGGGCTTCGCGAGGCTCCTGAGAGCTTGGCGCGGCCCGGTTTCTCCCCATGCCAGGCATTGGTTGGGCGGCGCTATCACTGGCTGCTCCTGAGCGCTGTCCCACGCTGTCGTGCTGTGTTGGTGTGCCAGACGAAATGACGATTGGCTCCTCCGACGGTGCAGGTACATTTTGCGGTGATGGGTTGCTCGCCGTGGCGTGCTGACGCGCGGAGTCACGTTCCGCCGTGAGTGTCGCGATTTCGAGCGCCGATTCTTCAACTTGGCGCACCAGGCGGTCGAGCTGCTCCTGCGTCAGAGTCGCGAGATTGAATTCGGCCATGGCGGGGGTGTCGGGCGAGCTCAGCGAGAGCCTCTGTCGTGGCCGTGCGTGCTTACGAGAGAGCACTACGAACGGCGGTGCTGTGTCGCTGAGAGACGTCTACCCCCCCCAAAAATTGAGATAGTGGGGAAGCGAAGGTGTGGGTGCGGTCCGAGAAGAGATCGTAGGCTCTGAATACCAAGTGTTACGAGTGCAATTGAGGGAGCGAACGAAGATTGCACTATCGAAGCAAGAGTACAATGAGCGAAGGCATGAGCGAAGGATTATATAGCGAAACTACAGTGGTAACGGTAATGTGTGAAAATGGGGTGCGCGACGGGCCTAGCGCCGTGGTTGGGAATTGTCGAGGCGAAGGTCCGGAGCGCGGGTTACCAACCGAGCCGTGAGGTTGGGTCGCGTCGTGAACAGTGGCGGGAACAGTACCGAGGCGAGTGTCGCGAGTGGTAACGGATTACTGTTGGGTGCTGTTGGCGGGAACAGTGCTGTACGCGCTGAGCAGGGACGCGAAGTAAGGAAAAGGAATTTTCCTTACAGTTATATTCAATTCTGAAACAGGCTGTACAGCCTCTATTCAGTCTTAATGTTGGCTGCAAGCACTAATGCATTTCTTAAACGGATTGTTTGCTAGAGAAGGCTCGTGTCGCAGGTCAAGGGACACGATCGTGATCAAGTTTTACTATGGATGCAAAATGTTGTGGTTGACAGTTGGCAACGACCATAATATTTGAATGAGCACGCCTGTACGTCGTTGTGCTAGTGGCATATGCTACAAACGCTCTCCCACTTCAAGCCGCCTCTTTATTTCACAAATCTTCCCTATCCTCCTCCCCTTCCTCCTTTCCTCCTCCCTCTCCTCCTCCCCTCTTCCCCTCCTCTCCACGCCCCTTAACCATATGTTGCATTGCATGTGATGTTGATAGCGCGTCGCCGAGCGTTGTGATGATATTGTTTTGCCGAGCATGATGTTGGAATGGAAACGTTTGAGTGACATGGACGGTTTTATTGTTGGCACAGCAAGCATGAAGGTTGAGTGACCGTTCATGTACAATCAACTAGATGCTGCAAGTTACAGTATTAGAGCTTGCTTACATCACCACGACAACCACACACTTGCGTACGGATATTGTTCGATATGTACCCACCTTGCCATGTCCATTCCAGACACAACAATATGCCAGTATGAAATTTCATAATCTACGTAAGAGCATGCCATTCTGGCCATCCAGCCGTTGGCATTATTCTAATGTATACGCCGAACGTCCCAATACTGGGATTGTGAGAGGGGAGGGGAGGAGGGGAGGAGGGGAGGAATAGGGAGGAAGAGGGGAGAGGTTGTGGCTGGAGTGGCCTCAGTAGGAGAGAATGGGGAGGGGAGGAGTCAGAGGAGGGAGGCGATGTGGGGTGTGGGAGGAGATTCAGGGCGCTGGTGGTGTTGTGGATGAGGTTGACTCGTTGGTAGGCGGGGGAAGGGAAGGAGAAGGTGGTGGGGGTGTGGCTGGAGGGGATTCAATAGGAGAGGTTGGTGAGGAGGAGTCAGGAGTGACAGGCAAAGAGACAGGAGGAGGGGGGGAAGATTCTGGGGGAGGTGGGGAAGGGCTAGGAGGAGGAGGCGAGGGGTTGACGGGAGGAGGCGAAGGGACAGTGGTAGGCGGTGAGGGGTTGAGGGGAGGCGGTGAAGGAACGGAAGGAGAAGGAGTGGAAGGAGAGGGAACCCAAGGAGAAGGAACTGACGGAGTAGCAGGAGGAGGAGAGGGACTGCCAGCACCAGATGAGCTGCCTCCACTGCTGCTGCTGCTGCTTCCAGTAGTGCCACTACCACCACCACCACCACTAGCATCACTCCCATCACTCCCACCTGCACCATCACCGCCAGCGGGAATGGAGGCCAGGATGGCATCGGGCACGAGCAGCGAGTCCACGAGGTGTATCTGGGAAGCACAAGGGGAAAGAACAATTGGAGAGGTTTTTTCAGTCGACTTGAAGGCATCACCGCCACCGCTACCAGGTATGGAGGCCAGGATGGCATCGGGCACGAGGAGCGAGTCCACGAGGTGAATCTGGGAAACAGTGGGAGTACAAGTGTGGAGAGCAGGGGTGGTCAGTCGGGCACGGAATGTGAAGATGACAATGGGGATGAGACACCATCACCAGGGGCACGGTGCCTTTGACGCATGGAATGCTTGACCAGGGGCACGGTCACTTTTGACATGATGGCGCCTTGACCGGATGGCACAAGGAGCGAGTCAGAGTCGACGAGGTGCACGTGGGAAACACAAGCGGTCACAACAGGTGGCTTGTCGGGCATGGAATGAAGCTGACAATGGGGATGGCAATGCAGTGCAAGGGTGGTCAGCGTGCAAGGAGAGGAGCGAGGCAATGAGGTGCACACCTGGAAGAACTCCGTCTTGGCGAGGTTGGGCGCGAGCAGCGTGGAAGTGGAGCGACCGCTACCTGAGAAGATGCAATCAAGGGTTGATTTGAGACTCACCTGGAAAAATTCCGTCTTGGCGAGGTTGGGGGCGAGCAGCGTGGACGTGGAGCGACCGCTGCCAGAGCGGAAGACCACGGTGAAGAACGCGCTCTCATCCGACTTGAAGACTGACTCCTTGGCGAGCGTGGGGAACTGCGCAAGGGGAGGAGTGGGAGTGGGGCGCGCAGTGAAGGTTGATCTGAGTGGTGCGGGTGGGTGCATGTGTGAGGAGCGGAAGGCCACGGTGAAGAATGCGCTCTCATCCGACTTGAAGACCGACTCCTTGGCGAGCGTCGGGAACTGATTGGGACAGCGGGGTGTGAGGGATTTGGGGGCGGGACATGCAAACAAGTGTTTATCCGAGTGGTGCGGGACGGGAGGGTGCATTTGAGCAACGGAAGCGTCACCCACAGGCAGCAGCGACTGCACCCTACCCCCCCGACACACCCTAACCAGCCCGTGTAGACACTCTCTTCCGGCTCCCGCTGGCCGAACATAGTGCAAACGCTCACTCCCCCCCATCTGTTTCTCCAGGAGCATGCAGTGCCCCACCTTTCTTCCCCCCTCCGATTCTCTCCCACCCACCAGCACACACCCGCAGCCCGCTCATTATACTCACGCCGGTGTCCGCAGGTCGTTCGACGAGCGCTGTGTAGTCCAATTGTTTCCCCAGAATCATGTGGTACCGCAGCGTCATTGCCCTCCCCCATACCCCTCCCGCTCCTACACCAACACACCCACAGCCCGCTCTTTATGCTCACAGCCCGCCCTTTATGCTCACAGCCCGCCCGTTATACTCACGCCGGTATCCGCGGGTCGCTCGACGAGCGCCGTGTAATCCAATTGTTTCCCCAGAATCATGTGGTACCGCAGCGTCGTCCGCGCGAGCGATGGGTTGTTAAAATACGGCGACGCGGGCGGCAGCGACTGCAGCGCGTCGGGGGACGGCACGAGGAACGTTGCGCCGGCGCCATTCCCCTTGGTAAGCGACTCGAGAAGCACGGAAAGCAGACCCGCGTTGCTAATATATTTGACGAACTGCTGCTGCTTGCTCAGGCCTTGCACGAGGTTGAACACCTTCTGAGCCTCCGCGAGATTGACCATAAACTTGGGTTTGGGAGTGGTGGAGGCGGAGGTCGACGTGGTGTTTTTCTTCTTGCCAAATAGCTTCTCTCGGAGCTTCCCCTTTTTCTTCTTTTCGGTGGTGGCCGGCGATTTGGACGGTGGTTTTGACGGCGATTTTGACGGTGATTCGGACGGAGATTTCGACGGCGATTTTGACGGTGTTTTTGGAGGTGAAACTGACGGTGACGGAGACTGCGTTTGCTCCTTTGCTGGCGGGTTTGTCGTCGGCGAGTTTTTCTTGGTCGGCGACGGGATTACTTTCGGTGGCGACGGGTCTACTTTCGGTGGCGACGGGCTTTTCTTAGGTGGCGAAACATTTTCCTTCGCCGGGGATTTCGCGGGTGATTTCACTGGCGTTTTCGTAGCTGGCGATGATGGATGCTTCGTTGACGGAGCGGTGGTCTTCTTCGTCGGAGTTTTTGGGGGCTTGGGCAGAGACTTGGTCGACGGCGGCAGCGATTTCGGCTTCGTTGCTTTCGTTACAGTCTTCTTCGCGGATTGGCTAGCTTGCGCCGTAGTCGACTTCACTTGCTTCGTCGCAGCCGAATTCGCTGATTTCGCAGAAGATTTTGCCGACGTCGCAGCCTTCTTTCCAGCGGATTTTACTAATGACGACGACGATGACGACTTCGCTGCGACTGTTTTCGCCCCCGCGACAGCTTCACCCGCTGATTCCCCTCGTACTAGTCGCGGTTTCTTTGCTGGAGATGCGCTGTGCCGGCTGGCAGGATCTCTCGTGGATTTAGTCGAAGGTTTCACTGTCGCTTTACCGAGCGCGGGAGCTGGCGTGCAGATAGCGAGAAATATAACTATGCAGAGAACGGCGGCCAGGACCACCGCCCTTCGGCGCGCCATGGTCAGATGTACAACGGAGATTTAATAGCGATTCAGAGAATGATGCGTATTTGGGAGTACAAGAGCCTCAGGCCCAAAACTGTCAGGCTCGAAACTGTAAATTAAGTGGCGTGGTTATGAGGGAATCGAGGAATAAGAACTACTTGAGAGGAATAAGATTTCGAGGCAAGGCAGCGAATGAGCGGAAGTATTATGAGACTGGGAGGGGTCTAAAACAGTAGAGTCGGGTGCCACATTCGTATAGACAGTGATGCGCGGTGAGTGCACGCCAATGTCGGTCGGCGATGCGTGAGCAGGGTGATGCTGAAGCTGACGGGTCAACTATGGCGAGGAGGCTGAGCTGTGAAGGGGGTTCGCAAGCAAGACGCAATAGGCAGTATTGGGAACGCGGGTGAGCGAGTGAGGTGCGAAAACGAGGGATTGAGTTCCGCAAGCGAGGAAATTCATGCCGTCGAGGGCAAATTTTGTGGGATGTCGGCTGTTGGGTTGGGGAGGGGAGGGGATTCGAGGTGGAGGGGAATGTTGAATTTGCTGTGCCCCGCTTTTGATCCCGAACCGCATCCGGCCATCAATGTGTGACCGATTCGCAAATGCCGAGGCGCTTTGAGATTGCTTGTGAATAAAATTTGATGGCGCGAGAGGTGGGTGCTGGAGGCCGCACGATGACCGAATCTGAAGTGGGCGACGGGAAACGCTCAATATGAACGGCTGAGATTAGTTGAAGGCTCGGAATTCTTCCCGTTTCTTTCGCAAACCAGGCCTGGATTCGTTGAACACATTAGCATCATAACTTGTAATTCTTCCCGTTTCTTCCCGTCTCCGCCTTGGTAGAGCGTCGACTTCGCGTCCATTGGCCCAGGTCGGCGAGGGGACGCACGAATCCTCCTGCGCGCGGAGCGACGCTACAATCGACACGTGTCGATTTCGTAGCGGTTCGCGACGATAGAATGCATGCGATGGGAGAGAATTTATTTCCGCCTCGTCAAAAATTTCGCATGCGCCCGATGCGAAGCCACGGGCGAACACGTGGCGCCACCGCTGCGAATCGCGAAATTGTCGAGTGTCCCGAGGGGGGCCCGTATTTTCGCACGGCCCTCGCCTGCCCGTCCGGGCAGGCCGCGATGGGTTACTAGGACCTCGCGGGCAGGCAGCACGTGTGGGCTGCCTTCGCGCGAGGGTAACTTTCCCTCGCGCGAGGGGTCGCCAGTTCGCCGACCCCACCCGGTAACGTGGGTCGCTGTTCAATTTCGGAGCGGGGCTGCGGGGCGGCGGTCGTGCGCTCGGCCCAGCCCTGGGCCAGGCTGGCGGGCCCGCACGCGCGTCAGTCGCCCGCCTCGTCAGGCCCTCCTCCGACGACCCCTCCCGTCGACACTGGCAAAACGGGTCCGACGACCGAGTTCCGATGAGGCTTTCGATAGCTGAAGTCAACTGTAAAGAGGTGAGGGGGGAAAACAGACACTGACGAGAAGCTCATTTTCGTTTTCAAATTCGCGAGGGTGAATGCTGAACCAAACAAGAGGGGTTCAGGCTGATCCTTGCCCACCAAAAACGCAATATCGAGTAGAACTCGGAAGTTGCACAATAACATTGTACAGTAAAATAATTATGTATTTACGTTCTGCAATGTAGGCACGAACCAAGCTATGCCCGTACAACAGCTGAATTCACCGGCATTTCATTTCAGAAGGGTAGTTAAAGATTCCAAACTCTATAACGGCATGCTCTTCAGACTGAAATTGGCTTGTTCGGAGGATTACCATACGTCCGCTTTGATGTATTTCTGATCCATAAAGCTCCTCCCTTGAAAGTGAACTCCAGTCCCTGATTCGTCACGGGACCAGCTCTGATGCGTCTTTGATGCCATATAATAGAAGATTGCAGCTCAACAGAGAACCCTCCATGGTGATGATTGTTGCCTCGGGGTCACATATAAAATAACTTTGATGATTCACTTCAGCCATGGAGTGCTGTGACCCAAGTATCCTGCGTGGCACCTGCGTCTCATGGAAATTAGTTCGTGCCACAGTCGGACAGCACCAGCATGCAGCACTACACACATCAGAGCTCACTAGCATCTTCAAAGTTGGTAAGTGTCTTTAGACCTGTCACACAAGAAATCGTGACAATGTTCTTTTAGAACTGCCTTGCAATGCTACAGCCTAACAGAAGCAAAAAGCGGCAGGAAATTGTTAATGCAGGAGGCAAAGCCAACATAAAACCTGACTCACTTGGAGGTGGCTTCCAGTCTGGAAACAGAAGGTTTATTTCATGGAGAGCATCAGCAACAGATGCCGAGCCATGCATTGCGTTTTGTAGCACATCTGTGCCATACTTGGCACGTAAGCTGGTGGAAGCACAAGCACCAGAAGGGGAGATGGGATGTTACGGGCACTCTTCCAAAGCACCATGCAACCCTGGTTAGTGGAATATAGACTCTGAACTTTACATACCGTTAGAAATTCAAACCTTACCTCTCTGGGTGAGCAGCACGGGCTGTCTTGGGATCGGTGGGACCAATGAGCTCTCGAAAGGCGGACGGTGCATTCTCATGCTGTAGCACCAATGCTGTCACTGGCGCACTGCAGACGATACTCAGCAAAACGATTGGGAAAACTGGCGGTTGAAAGACGGCTGATGGAGCAAGAACGCATCTAACTACAATAGGGATGGTAAGGGAAGACGAGAAGGGAGACAGAGAGAATGGCTGACCTTTGCATAAAGTTGATGAGGCCCTGATAGAACTTCTTTCCCTTGTGCTCTGCGTAGAATTTCTCGGCTAAAGGCTCGTCAAAGAAGAAGTGCTTCTCATGCACGACCTGGAATCCGGCTTCCCGGATGTCATTGGACAAGCCCGTCCAGATGTTGTTCCCCATAATGTCAGGCTTCAGAATGGCGAGAGTTAGGTCATCTCTCCCTTCTGCACACGTTGAATACGGCGAATCAGTAAGATAGAGGAACTCGTGCGCGGAATATGGTCCAATGCTACCTCGAGACTGTACGGCTGGGGAAGATCATGAATGACATCTGAAAATTGGGGATATACGAGCTAAGGTTCAGAAAAATAACGAGAAGATGCAAGAAAAGGGTGGTGGTCATGCTGGAATCTGTCAAGTAGGAGGTGGGAGCGTACCTAATGTTGTCGAAGCTGCGCAGCTCAGAAAAGCGAGAGCCAAGAGGACATGAAGAACGGTTGCAGTAATGTTCCTCATGGCGAAGCGCCAAAATCGTTTCGAGATGGTGAATGAGACGGAACCGTTTCGTCAGTGCTCATAGCAAAAGTATGCATTGGCTTGGAGAGGGATTGGTGTAGTGGTATTTGTTATTCCGCTGGGGGGGGGGGGGCGACACAAGCTCTCAGACAAAGGCGAACTTTTGCGACATTCGGATACCAACATTTCCGAATGATTCACCACTAGTTGGGTCACATTTTCGCCGTTTTCACAGGAACAGTTTTGCAGAAACCTTGGACTTTCACGCTAGCATTTCCCTTCGGTTGATCTATCCTAGCTGCTCCTCATTCAGAACCACGGTCTCAAGACCAGATATCCTGTCTGAAGTGGTGCAAGTTTGAAGGGGTCTTTTCCGCGTTCGCGTTGTTATGAATGTTTTGGAGGCATGGATTGAGCTCGCGTGCACGTCGCTAGTCCCAAATCACACTCGAGTTTCCTGAAGGGACGACTACAAAGCCTTCGTTTGACTTGAATCGAAGTACCGCGGCATGGCGAATTTAGTGCTGTTTCCCGGGCTCCTCGTCGACATCGTCGATGAAGAGTGGATGAGCGAGACGCTTCCCGACGACGGTGAGCGCTGAAGCAGATGAGTTCATATTTCATGTGAGCTGAAGTGCGTGTTTACTTGTCACTGAAGGCGGAAAGAGGTACTACGCGCTTCCTGGCCGGCAGATTCTAGATTTTTCCGCTTACACTCCATGTTCTGGCGTCTCTTTTACGTCTCCTGCGGTTTGTGTTTTTGTTCATGATCAGATGTGATGCTCCCGGTCGGTCCTGCACCAACCGAAGAGGCTGACGACCTTGGTAAGCACTCTTTGACCTTCAGTGGTGGCTCTTGTTTCAGTGTGACACAGGAAGGTGTTCATGTAAGGAGTAAGCAGCTGGCATTGCATTTCTTATGCTTCAGATCCTACTCTTGGCCTCTCACTCTGGTGTGCTTGTGCTTACCTTATGTCATGCCCCTTGTTGTTTGTGTCTTCGTTGAATCAGGGAACGAGGTGCCCCAGGAAGATCCAAATAAATGGACAGACCTTGCCCTAGACACTATTCAGTAGCTGTTATCAGACAGACAGACAGGCAGGGCTGTCTGGCCAGACTTTTCAGAGGCACATCACAGACCGCATGTACGGCCTTGGTCTCAGCTCATGAATCATGATAGAAATGTCACTTTTGAAGGAGGTTTGAGAGAGGAAGCAATGCACCATGTGTCAGGTCAGCTGGTAAATGCACCAGCTGACACGTGTCGCAACTAGAAATCGAGATGCCAATGCCCAGCATATGGATGAAACAACAGACGATGGTGGCTACATATGGATGGATGGAGCTGAGACGAGCTATATGCCCGGTGACTTGATCCTGGCATGCAGTCCACATTGGGCCTCTGGACTGGCCGTGATCAGCTGGAGTGATTTCTGAATTGGCTCTAAAAGCAACTAGATGGGGATGCCGAGACGAGCCACATGAACGGTGGTTTTGTTGATGGCATGCAGCTGACGCTGAGCCTCTCGGGTTGCCATGGCCAGCTGAAGCAGGCGATGTGTGGGAAAGGGGCACAAAAGCATGAAGGATATGCACTTTTAAAGAGAGCTGAAAAGAATGCTGAGAACAATCTTGGAACAAAGGCTTGAGATGCTGAGAGTAAGTCGCTGCACAGCCACTCGGCAGCAATGGATGGCACTGACCAGAACCTAGGCACACAACGTGCAAGCCAGTTACCACAAGGAGTACCTCTGATCGGAGCCGAACGCTGTCTCTCGCAGGCAGGTCTTTTAGCAGCTCACGAAGCCCTGGGGGGGTGGAAGGGGGAGAGAAGGGAGCAAGAGAAGAAATTGAACAAGGGCAAAGTCACGCCACTTGGAGGCTTGGTTTAAGGCACAATGCTGCAGGTAAAGAAGCTGGCACAGAAACTGTGTGGGGAAAAAAAAGGCTGCAGCAACAACTCACCCAGAGACTTTTTCTCGGCTGCCCGTACTGACCCTGCCAGCCGTTGCATCTCAGCCCCTGCAGCCCTGCGGTCAAAAGGTCAAAGAACATGGTGAGTAAAAGAAGCGCCCTGCAACACGGCCCTGCAAACCTGCAGTTAAAAGGTCAAAGAACATGGTGAGTAAAAGAAGTGCCATGCAACAAGGACCTGCCGCCCTGGGGCAAGTCAAAGGAGGTGGTTAGACGAGAAGGTTTGGGGTTAAGCACGCGAAGCATGCATGGGGTGTGGTGGTGGTGAAGCAGGCCAGAGAAGCAAATGAAAGCATGCAATGTTATGGCACAGAGAAAGAGACGCAGCAAACTGTCACCAGCAAATGTGGAGGCATTGGCGAGCTCACTTCAGCTTGTCTCGGCCTGAACGAAACTCTGACTCGGCCATTTGAGCCCGTTCCTGCATGTCCAGATTCAGAGAACATGATGCCATCAAGGTAACGCCATGAGAGTAGGCACATCGTGCTGTTAAATCATATGATGATATTATCATAGCAATGCAATCTAAACAGAGCTTCAGCAGATGGTACCAGTACAATAAAGGGGAAGGAAGTGAGGTATGAGGGAAGTTGGAGAACCTTCAGCTCTCACTCAACTCACCTGCAGCTTCTTGGTGTCATTCTTGAACACTTCGGTTGACTGCTTCAGTCTCTCCAGCTTACGCCCTTTTGAATCGTCTCATGAGACGGCTCAAAAAACATGCACTTACTCATCTCACCTGCAGCTTCTTGGTGTCGTTCTTGAACACTTCCGTTGACTGCTTCAGTCTCTCCAGCTTACGCCCTTTTGAAACGTCTCATGAGACGGCTCAAAAAACATGCACTCACTCAACTCACCTGCAGCTTCTTGGTGTCGTTCTTGAACACTTCCACTGACTGTTTCAGACTTTTCCAGCTTACGCCCTTTTGAGACGTCTCATGAGACGTCTCAAAAAACATGCACTCACTCAACTCACCTGCAGCTTCTTGGTGTCGTTCTTGAACACTTCCACTGACTGTTTCAGACTTTCCAGCTTACGCTCTGCTGACTCCACTAGCACCTGCATCATCAGAGGCCGGGAGGGAGAACGGTATAAATACCCCCACTGATTTCAACTGGGTGCTTCAAAATCTCCAGCTTACGCTCTGCGAATTCCACCAGCACCTGCATCAAACGGGGGGGAGCGGAACAGCAACCGGAATCGGGCATTCTGTTGCGAATGATATCGGGCCCTTTGATAGCATGCAGCCGTGGTAACAAAGCCTACACATATGGCTGTGCATCTGAGCATGAGCACTTACCTCTGGGGTTTGAAATCGGCCAAATGTTGCCCGATACAGCCAAGCGGGCCTTCAATACCATGTATCCGTTCTTACAAAAACTACACATATGGCTGTGCATCTGAGCATGAGCACTTGCCTCTGGGGTTTGAAATCGGCCGAATGTTGCTCGATACAGCATCTTGCGTGGCCCTGTACAGGAGACAGGGGGGTTCCGAGGAACAGTCGAACAGAAGGGCAAGAAGAGTGTGGTGGAGAAACGGGAAGCAACAGTAAAGCGTAAACGAAGGAAGGGGGGTGGTTTCAGCCAGAGTGAAAGTGGAGCAGACTGGGTGCTCACATGCAAACTGGGTGATGAATCGTAAGTCTCGTTTTAGGATAATGCATATCAAGCCCAATAATACAGCGAAACGACTAACCTGGAAGGATGAACGCAAGGGCAGAGAGCAACGCTGCAGAGGAGGCAACGCGATGCTCTGCGACTAGATAGACTCCCACTGTAGTGAAGAAAGAAACGAGGGAAGGCGGGGAGACGAAGTGAGAGAACGCGGTCGGGAAGAGCCAGATGGGAGTTGTAGTCCTTGTGAGTGATTTTTCAGAATTCTCAAAAATCACTCAAGTCGGGAAGAGCCAGATGGGCGACCCCGGGGGGAGGGGGGGGGGGGGGGGGGGGGGGGGGGGGGGGGGGGAGGGGGAGGAGGAAGGGGGGGGGAAGGGGGGAGAGGGAGCAACCCAGTACTCATGGTGTGTGTACACCTCACTTCTGAGAATTCTTAGACACAACTTTGATTTGCTGCGTGCACATGCCTCACTCACTCTTGAGGTGGTGGAAGAAAACGTCCTCGTACTCTGTGTACACCTCACGTCACGTATGAGCATTCTTTACACCTCACATCACGTATGAGCATTCTTTACACCTCACATCACGTATGAGCATTCTTTACACCTCACATCACGTATGAGCATTCTTTACGCTCGCATATGATATGTTTTCGTGTACAGACACACGCCTCACTCACTCTTGAGGTGGTGAAAGAAAACGTCCTCATACTCTGTGTACACCTCACGAGCCACCTCAAGAGATGCCTGCAGGAACAGAGTAAGTAGGGATATGAAACGAGAGAAGATAGGGAAAGGAAAGCGAAAAGGGCGAAAATGGAAGTTGGGAGAACGGAGAAGATGTGATAAGGACAACAATGGGAAAAGCGCAAGGATGAAGGATCTCGCCCGCAAGGACATCTGAATTGCTTTTACCTACCCTGCACCTGCGCCTGCACCAGCGCCTGCCCCAGCGCGTGCCCCTGCACCTGCCCCTGCGCCTGCCCCTGCACCTGCTCCTGCACCTGCCCCTGCCTGCACCTGTCCCTTCCCCTGTTCATGCCCCTGCCCTTGTCCCTCCGCCTCCGCCTCTCTCTGCTGTAGCTACTAGCTAACCCACCGTGCCCCACCACCGCTCCCTGCGCACCTATCCGCGGTATAAGCCGCCTCACCTTGGCTTCTTGGAGGTGCTCCGGTGCTGTGGCTTCCATGATCGACTCGCCATCTGCTTACTGCGCAACCGCTGCAGTCTCGCGAATGGCGGCCGAGGCCTGCTGCCGTCAATCCATTCGCGTTATAAGCTGTCTCACCTTCGCTTCCAGCAGGTGCTCCCGCCACCGCTTCCATCACCGCCACCTGCTGCCGCGCGGCCGCGGTTGTCTCGCGAATGGCGGCGGAGGCCTGCTCCTTTCAATGCATACGCGTTATAAGATTCATACCTTCGCTTCCTGCAGTTGTTCCGACGCTGCGGCTTCCATCACCGCCATTTGCTGCCGCGCGGCCGCCGTGGTCTCGCGAATGGCGGCGGACGCCTGCTCCTGCGCGTGCTGTAGCTGCTTGTTGCCCTCCGTCACCCTCGCCATCACCCATCACGACCCCAGGACCCCATTCCAGTACCGATATGATCCGCTGTTGAGCCTCCCGGGAAAATCCGCGTTATAAGGTGCTTCGACGAGGGGCAAGATGTCTCACCTTGGCTTCCTGCAGTTGTTCCGACGCTGCGGCTTCCATGACAGCCATTTGCTGCCGCGCGGCCGCCGTGGTCTCGCGAATGGCGGCGGAGGCCTGCTCCTGCGCGTGCTGCAGCTGCTCGTTGCCCTCCGTCACCATCGCCATCACCTTCCGCACCTCCTCCATCACCGAGGATGACCCCATGACCAATCCGATCCGATCTTTCTTAACGCGCTTCTAAAACCGCGTTGTAAGGTGCTTCGACAAGGCTTTTACGAGACACTAATGTATCGCTTTTCGAGACGCCACGACGATCGGTTTTTAACGCTTTATCAATGCGTAGCCCGTTTAAGAGCAACAGCTACACCAGAGACTCTGTACTGGATGATCCGCTTGTATCTCCGCTGGGACGTCTCGAAAGAGTGACCAAAATGAAGAGATAGATGAGCGCGGATCGCGACACGGCCTGGAAAGGAAGATAATGAGTGGCGAAGGAGATGGCAAGAGGTAATGGAGGGTGCGATTAGGGAGGTAATGGGGTACAGTAATGGTGGAGGCGTGGAATGGCAAGCATCAGACAAGAGGTGCCCATTGTAGGTCCTTTCACAGCCTGGTAAAAAACGGTTCAGTACGGTTAGATGGCTTTATACAGTTCTTATTGCAGACTTCTTTTTCGCGGCACCCGGCTTTAGCGTTCCCACTAGTAGGATAGCACACCTCGAGAAGTCAAGAGATTGTTGGTACACGTGAGGAGGTGAATGGCTAACTTTCATTGCATAACAAGCAATTTCATGTTATGATGTTCGCAACAAGTCATGAAATGCCTCTTGGGGAAGAGAAACGGAGCCAACTCGCTTCATTCGCTTCTTCCCTTCCTTCTGCTTCTCCAGTAGCTTCCGCTTGCGGGTAACATCCCCGCCATAACACTTCGCAAGTACATTTTTACGCATAGCCGAAAGCCTGCTTGGGGATAAAGATGAAGGTTGAAGATGGTTCTGTGATGGGAGAAGTACCATGTTACACGGTATGCCTATGGAATCCGGTGCAAAATTGTAAGGACACAAGGAAAGCGGGAAGATGCAAGCACATGCTTGAGCAAGGGCATACGAATCATACATTTGTGAAATTGAACTGTCAACCTTGCTGCACTCCCACTCACTTTTCACTTGCAATCACTTTGGCGCCGATAGCTGCCTGGATGGCCACCTCAAACATTTGCCTGCACGCGCCCATAAATTTTGGATGCACACATTTATGGTTGCATGCATGCACAGAGAGCAGGAGTTGGAGCATGTGTACAGTTGAGTAACACAAACGAAGTCAAATAAACAAACACAAACACGGTTTGCAACAACACATTGATGCGTCTACATCCACAGGCTACGAATGTGCACTCTTTCTAGAAGAGAAAATACTTTCCAAATGCTTCAACGCGTCATCCATTTGTTGCTTTTCAGACGCACCTGTCAAGCACCCCTTTGAGTCGCTCCACCAACTTTCTTCCCATGCGCTGCGCGGCGTCTCTGTGGGCGATGGCTGCCAGGGTGTCCACTTAAACCACTCTCAACCTTTTCAGACCCACCTGTCAAGAACCCCTTTCAGTCTCTCCACGAGCTTCCTCCCCATGCGCTGCGCCGCGTCTCTGTGGGCGATGGCTGCCAGTGCGTCCACTGTCTCCCGCCACTCGCCATAACACAACCATTTCAATACCATTTGAAACCCTCTCAACCATTTCAGACCCACCTGTCAAGCACCCCTTTGAGTCTCTCCACGAGCTTCCTCCCCATGCGTTGCGCCGCGTCTCGGTGGGCGATGGCTGCAAGCGCATCTACTGGCTTTCCATTCAACAGCACATCCACCTTCACCAGATCCGCCTCCCTCATGCTGGGATGCATGGAATAGGGGTGACGGCAACAGGTGAATGGGGAGACACAGTCAAAGAGACAGAGGAAAGGATGTTGCATTTGTCACCTTCATTAGATCTAACCTCCACCAGATTTCACCTTCACCAGATTCCACCTCCACCAGATCCCAACTCCACCATATCCCACCTCCACCAGATCCCACCTCCACCAGATCCCACCTCCACCAGATCCCACCTCCACCAGGCCCATTGCCTCACCCCGCATCTTCATAGTCGAAAGTGGCAAAGCCCGAGGAGATGCTCTTGAGGTGGCTGTAGAAGTCCATCACCACCTCCCTCACTGGCATGTCGTACCTCAGCATGGCCCGGTCACTGCAATGCAAAGCAAAGGATTAACAGTCATGGGAAACACTCTCTTGAGGTGCTCTTGAGGTGGCTGTAGAAGTCCATCACCACCTCCCTCACTGGCATGTCGTACCTCAGCATGGCCCGGTCACTGCAATGCAAAGCAAAGGATTAACAGTCATGGGAAACACACTCTTGAGGTGGCTGTAGAAGTCCATCACCACTTCTCTCACGGGCATGTCGTATCGCAACATGGCCCGGTCGCTGCAAGGCAGGGCAAACGGGTGAAAGACACATGCTGGTTGGGGCTGACACACACATGCCTTGAGGTGGCTGTAGAAATCCATCACCCCCTCCCGCACGGGCATGTCGTATCGCAGCATCGCCCGGTCGCTGCATTGGGAGGAGAAGGAGGGGGCAGAACGAGCAAAGGAGTTGAAGACACAAGGGCATTGGGGCAGACAGGCTCTTGAGGTGGCTGTAGAAGTCCATCACAACCTCCCTCACTGCCAAACCCTGCCCATTACCCTCTGGATCAAGTGCAACAACAAGCACGCAAGAGCTCTCCAACTCACCGGTCAATATAGGGCTTTTCTTTCCTAGGTGACACTCTGAGTCGACTCGAAAGTCACTTTTGGAACTCACCCGTCAATAAAGGAGTACTCCTTCTGCTCGCCCCTCCTGCTCGCACAGAGCTCCATAATAGGTCCCACATACCTGGGAGGGAGGGAGGGGAGGAGGGAGAAGGGTAGAGAGGGGATAGGAAAAAGTCACTTACTTGCAGAGGGACTCACTTGCAGGGGCACTCACTTGGGGAGGGGGGGGGGAGGGTGTGAGGGGGTTCAATGAAGCACTCACTTCGAGGGAGTGACGATGGTGGCGAGAACAAAGGGCTCTGTGCAACGAACCACTCGCTGCTTGGGGATGGATGGGATGTCGGATGGGCCCTGGGCCTCTATGCGCCTGGATGGAGGGGAGGAAGGGGAATGGAGAAGGCAAAAATGGGAGGGTTGGGAAGAGGAAGTGGGAGGCGAAGCACTCCCTGCTTGGGGATGTATGGGATGTCAGACGGACCCTGGGCCTCTATGCGGCTGGATGGGGGGGAAGAGGGGGAGGGAGAGAGAGAGGGAAGGGAAAGGGCATGGGCATGGGCATAGGCATGGCATGGGTATGGTTAGCATGGGCATGGCATGGGGTTGGGAATGGCAAGGCATGGCATAGCATAGCACGGCATGACATGTCATGGCACGTCACAGGGACTCACGTGCCGTCCGCGTATTCAAATATAGCTGGCACGGAGGGAGCCGTTGAGATGACCTCCGCCCCAGAACTCAAACACCACACTTACTCACATGCAACGGGAATGGCATGGAATAGGACGTCTTAGGGACTGACTCACGTGCCGTCGGCGTATTCAAAGATTGCCGGCACAGAGGGAGCAGTTGAGATGACCTCAGCACCAAACTCCTGCTGCAGGCGCTGGTGAAACACGTCCATGTGGAGTAGACCAAGGAAGCCGCACCTGCCAAGGCAGTGCAAAAAGGACAGGGAATTCGAAGACGGCTTGTCTTACAAGCACTTGTTCCTGCTGCAGGCGCTGGTGAAACACGTCCATGTGGAGCAAGCCCAGGAAGCCGCACCTGCAAGCAAGGCAGTCATTGGTGAGATAACGGGTTTTTTTTCTTTCTCCTTTCTTTCTTTTTATCTGTAGGAGTGACAGTGTCGAGGACCAGGTGTTGAAACGTCTCAATGCATAGCCCTGTAACTCCCACCTGAATCCAGCCCCCAGAGCAGCGCTGCTGTTTCGGGTACCCGCCATGCTGGCATCGTTGCACACCAGCTTGTCCACTGCTTTCGCCAGTGCCTTTATGCTGCATGCACCACACCACACCACACCACACCTCGCTATACCGCCTGCTGCAATACCAACACACACCTAAATCCAGCGCCCAGGGCAGTGCTGCTGTAGCGGGTGACAGCCACGCTTGCATCGTTGCACACCAGCTTATCCACCGCTTTAGCCAGCGCCTCAAAGTCCGACCCATCGGCCGGAAACACCCCTGCAAACACCATGTGCTGAGCTGGCCTGAAGCCCGGGAGGGGCGAGACTTGGGTCTTGTGGTGGTGGATCGTGTCACCTACCCTTGCTTCCCTTGTTGTTCGCATGCCAAGCATCACATACCCCACCTGTCACACGCACAGGGGTGAAGGGGGGAAGGGTATGGGACTCGGCAGGAACACCCCTGCAAACACCATGTGCTGCGCCGCCCTGAAGCCCGGGAGCGCTGTGCACTATGGTGGTGAATAGTGTCGTAATGGTAATGGTAATGGTAATGGTAATGGTAATTGTAATGGTAATGGTAGTGGTAATGGTAATGGTAATGGTAATGATAATCGTAATCGTAATAGTAGTAATAATGGAAATGGTAGTGGTAATGGTATTGGTATTGGTAATGGTAGTGGTAACGGTAGTGGTAATGGTAGTGGTAATGGTAATGGTAATGGTAATGGTAATGGTAATGGTAGTGGTAATGGTAATGGTAATGGTAATGGTAATGGTAGTGGTAATGGTAATGGTAATGGTAATTGTAATGGTAATGGTAATGTTAGTTGTAATGGTAGTGAAATGGTAATGGTATTAGTAATAGGGATGGTAACAACGATGATAATGGTAATGGTAGTGGTAGTGGTAATGGTAATGGTAATGGTAATGGCAATGGTAATGGTAATGGTAATGGTGATATTGATAGTGGTAATGGTAATGATAATGATTGTGGTAATGAAAGTTGTAATATTAATGGTAATGGTAATGTTAGTGGTAGTAGTAATGGTAATGGTAATGGTAATGGTCATGTTAGCGGGAATGGTAATGGTAATGGTAGTAGTAATATTAGTGCTAAAGGTAGTGAAAATGTTAATGGTAATGGTAACGGTAATGGGGATGGTAATGACGATGATAGTGGTAACGGTAATGGTAGTGGCAATGCTAATGGTAGTGGTAATGGAAATGGTAATCGTAATGTTAATGGCAATGGTAATTATAATGGCAATGGTAATTATAATGGTAATGGTAGTGGTATTGATAGTGGTAATGGTAATGATAATGGTAATGGTAATGGTAGTGGTAGTGGTAGTGGTAATGGAAACGACACTGGTAATGATAGTGGTAAGAGTAATGGTAACATATCCGGTAATGGTAATGGTAATGGGGATGGTAATGTTAATAGTAACGGTAATGGTAGTGGTAGTGGTAATGATAATAGCAGTGGTAGTGATAATGGTAACGGTAATGATAGTAGAAATGGTAATGGTAATATTAATGGCAATGGTAATGGTAATTATAATGGTAATAATATAGGTAGTGGTAATAATAATGGTAGTGGAAAACGTAATGATAATGATAGTGGTCATAGTAGTGGTAGTGGTAATGGTAATGGTAATGGTAATGGTAGTGGTAGCCTCAGGGTATATGACCCCCACCTCCCCCACGTCGTATTTCATCCCCATCCTTGCCACTGCTACCCTCTACCCCTCAAATGCAAGCAAGAGCGGTGCACGCACAAACAGCATATCTGCTTGCTGAGCCTTGCACTACCCAACTCACACTCACCTGGCCGGTGAGCAAACAACCTGTGGGGGTGGCCTCAGGGTACATGACCCCCACCTCCCCCACGTCATAGCTCATCCCCATCCCCGCCACTGCCACCCTCTCGCCCCCCCTGATCGCCCCGTCAACCACTGCCACGTGGCACACCACGCCCCTGTACTCGTCAAAGTGCGCGTCCAATAGCAGCGCGCGCAGCGGGGCGGCAGGGTCGCCTGGGGGAGGTGGTATCTGGCGCACGATGGTGGAGAGCAGGGAAGGAAGGCCGGCTCCCGTGCGGGCTGAGGTGAAGAGGCAGGAGGAGACAGGCAGGTCGAAGGTGGAGGCGATTTGAGAGGCGACAGCTGAGAGAGGGGGATTTGAGAAGGGGGACGGGGGAACAGACAGGGATATTAAGCGGAGAGAAGAGAAGGCAGGCCGGCTCCTGTGCGGGCTGAGGTGAAGAGGCAGGAGGAGACAGGCAGGTCGAAGGTGGAAGAGATTTGAGCAGCAACGGCTGAGAAAGGGGTATTTCATGAAGGGGGCAGGGGAAAGGACCGGGGCAGATTGGGAGGGGGAAGGGGAGAGGGGAGAGGGGAGACGAGAGGGGAGACGAGAGGGGAGTGAGAGGTTGAAGGAACAAGAAGAGATGGTTGCTGATGGATGGATGGGGTGAGCAGCGGGGCGGCAGTGTCGCCTGGGGGAGGTGGTATCTGGCGCACGATGGTGGAGAGGAGGGAGGGCAGGCCGGATCCCGTGCGGGCTGACGTGAAGAGGCAGGAGGAGAGGGGCAGGTCGAACGGTTGGTTGCAAAGGGCACATGGGATGGGGAAGAGCGGGGAGAAAAGGATGGGAGGGAGAGGATGTGTGAGAAGAGAGGGCAGGCCGGCTCCCGTGCGTGCTGAGGTAAGGAGACAGGAGGAGAGGTCGAAGGTGCTGGCAATCTGGGAAGCGACAGGTTCAGGGTTGGCATCAGGCCGATCAATCTTGTTCACAACGGGCACGATCGCCGAATCCCCCTCAAGTGCAAGGAAGAAGTTGGCAACGGTCTGGGCCTGAATGCCCTGCTGCGCGTCCACCAGCAGCAGCACGCCCTGCGTGGCGGCCAGCCCCTCGAGAACCAGCAACCCTGGTACCAGTAGCAGCAGCAGCACCAGAGGCCCCAGCATCAACACCACCACCACCAGAACTCCCAGCAAAACCAGCAGTAGCCCATATAGTGGACTCACCTTGAGGGTCCGCATCAGGCCTGTCAATCTTGTTCACCACCGGTACGATCGCCAGGTCCCCCTCGAGAGCAAGGAAGAAATTCGCCACGGTCTGTGCCTGAATGCCCTGCTGCGCGTCCACCAGCAGCAGCACGCCCTGAGTGGCGGCCAGCGAGCGAGACACCTCGTAGCTGAAGTCCACGTGCCCGGGCGTGTCTATCAGGTTCAGCAGGTAGCGCCCGGGAGGGGGGCCAGGACCAGTCTGAGATGAGTCTGTCAATGTCGAATTGTCTTTGGAAGCAACAGGTGGCTGGTAGTCAAACAGCATGGTGGCAGTCTGTGCCTTCACTGTGATGCCTCGCTCCCTCTCCACCTGAAGGCATGGGGAGTGACGGAGATGCAAGGGTTTAGACGGCCAGCACCACCGGCAGCACCACCACAAGCAGCAGCAGCACGCCCTGAGTGGCGGCCAGCGAGCGAGACACCTCGAAGCTGAAGTCCACGTGCCCGGGCGTGTCTATCAGGTTCAGCAGGTAGCGCCCGGGAGGGGGGCCCAACAGGTCTCCACCAGTTGGAGTCTGTGGTGGCGCATAATTAAAGAGCATGGTGGCGGCCTGTGCCTTCACTGTGATGCCTCATTCTCGCTCCACCTGACGGCATGGAATGGACGCACGAGGGGGGCAGTGAAGGTGGTCACATTCGGCTAAGAGATACCTCCAAGACACCTAATAGGTATAAACTCAGTTATTTCAAGACACCGAATACCCCACCCACCTGCAGATTGTCCAGGTGCTCAAAGCCCCTTAAAGCCCACCTGCAGTTTGTCCAGATATTGTGGGCGAGCCTGCCCCTTGGTGTCGCTGGGCGTGAGCGTGCCTGTCAGCTCCAGCAGGCGGCTCTCAATACTAAGATGCCCACATTTGGTATCAAAACCCCACCTGCAGCTTGTCAAGCCCACCTGCAGTTTGTCCAGGTACTGTGGGCGAGCCTGCCCCTTGGTGTCGCTGGGCGTGAGCGTGCCTGTCAGCTCCAGCAGGCGGCTCTCAATACTAAGATGCCCACATTTGGTATCAAAACCCCACCTGCAGCTTGTCAAGCCCACCTGCAGCTTGTCCAGGTACTGCGGGCGGGCCTGCCCCTTGGTGTCGCTGGGCGTGAGCGTGCCTGTCAGCTCCAGCAGGCGGCTCTCAATACTAAGATGCCCACATTTGGTATCAAAACCCCACCTGCAGCTTGTCAAGCCCACCTGCAGCTTGTCCAGGTACTGCGGGCGGGCCTGCCCCTTGGTGTCGCTGGGCGTGAGCGTGCCTGTCAGCTCCAGCAGGCGGTCTGCCAGCGTGGATTTCCCGTGGTCCACGTGAGCCACGATGGAGAAATTCCGGATCCGATCTGGCGGGAAGGCGGACAGGTCTATTTGGGCTTTTTCGTGCCTCCCGCTGCTACCGCTCGTGCTGCTGCTGCTGGTGCCGCTGCTGCTGGTGCCGCTGCCGCTGCTCGAGCTGCTGCTAGTGCTAGTGTTACTGCTACTGCTGCTGACGCTAGTGCTGGTAGTGCCGTTGGTGCTGGAGATATTGGCATTGCTGCTAACCTCGTCGCTGAACCAGCGAATGCTGATACCGCTGCTGCTGCTACCCCCAATGCGGCTGTTTATTCTGCAGCCAATGCTGCTGCGGCTGTTAATCGGCATTCCTAGGCTCTTAGAACCTAACGATTTGTTCCTAATACTGAATCTAATACTACCACTGGTGACGACGTCAGCGCTACTCCCTTTTCTACTTCTGTCACCTGTGCTAAGCCGGCTACCGTAACCTCTGTGGTTGCTCGCGCCTAATCTGTGCGATTCGTTTGTAGCAGCTGCGATACTGTGGTTGGTCGGAGGGGCTCCATGCCTGATTGGGTGGGCGCCTGATGGCTGGAAAGGCGCGTTCCGCCCGATGGTCGAGTGCTGCCACGTGTCCAAACAGGCGATCCAAGAACGGCTTTTATCAATGATCGGAGTCGCCGACGACTCTAACGGTGGGGATTGATTGCGGACCACCGTGCGTTGAGAGAATTTGACGGTTAATGGAATCGCTGTTGACGGACATTGTGGTGACACGTCAGCAACGCCTGCTGCGGTGAAGGTGCGTGAGAGGCGGATAAAAGAGGAGCGAAGGTGCGCGCCGATGGTCGAATTCGCGGCTCTACGCGCAGCCATGGCGGCAGATGGCCACCGCGAAGTGTGCTTTGATTCAGCTCGTCATAAATTTTTGTGGAGAACTCATGGTCAGATAGCCTGGGAAAATGAATTTCCTGTACAGATAAATCTACATAGTACTCGCTACAGAGAACGCAATTTAGGCTAGTTCGATTTGGTGTATAAAGGTACACATTATAATGGCATTGGCATTATAATGGAAAGGTTGCTTTGAACTGTTTACAGCTCGTCAGATTATTTCAAGCAGCGAAATCGACGGGGAGAAAGGTTGTGGCTGTCCTTTCGCCTCGGGTTGCAGTGGTTCCACGAAACCCGAACGCGAAGGGTCCAATCGGCTGTAACGACACTTCACTGTCGCCGAACGCACCGCGTTTCGTTCAGGTGCCACCAATCTCGAGGCGCCGTTGGGGATCCCTTCGGTTACATTTCACGTGTCCGAGTTTCTGGGGGAACCCCAACGGCCAGCACAGCTCTCGAAACGTTTTCAGCCGTCGGATCTTGGCGGGAGGCAAGGTGAGGCTGGGATGTGCCAACAAAGCACGCCTGCAACAAAGCACGCTGGGAGTGCTGAGTTGGTGGAGTTCAGGAGATCCCAATGGGGCAGGTTCGGGCGCCCCAAAAAACGTCTGCTGACCGACTTCCATTGGGCTGGGCTGCTGATGTTTTCGAGGACGTCCGAACCTCCCGACCGAACCTCTTTCCCCTCGACCAGTTTTCCTCCCTGCTTGCCTTCCCCCCCCACCAACCAACTTTCACCCAGAAATCTCCGAATTGAAGGCATCTTCAAATGTCATCTGAAACTTGAGATCGATTCTCGGGTCTAGATTTCATCGCCTAGCGCATCAAGGCTGTTTATTTTCCGCCAGACTCGATTGACACACTAGTTTGGCATTGTGAGTCGAGTTAGCTCCCTCTTCCGCTCGTTACCTTACGCACTGACTCACACGCCAAGATGGTGAAGATCTGCTGTATCGGTGCCGGCTATGTCGGCGGTCCCACCATGGCGATGATCGCCTTGAAGTGTCCCCACATCGAGGTACGCTCGATGATTGATTCCGCAGTAGTCGTTACTACGCACAATCCGTTGCCGATCACCGATTTGCAGTAACATTCTGCAGCTTTTCCTGTGTCGATCGACCATCAGCAGCAGTGAAATTAATTTCTGTTTGAGAAATTCCGCTGGCCGTCATAACCCTTCAGGTGTACGTCGTCGACATTAGCAAGCCTCGCATTGCCGCTTGGAACAGCGATCGCCTCCCTATCTACGAGCCAGGCCTTGACGAAGTTGTAAGTCCCTGCTCAAGAATATTTTAACCCGCTTAACTTCACCTTTGGCGTCGTCCCTAGCGTGATAGGGCCTTGGTCCACTCGGCAGTTCATTGACCGAATCTGGATGCTGGATCGCAGGTCAAGGAGTGCCGAGGGAGGAATCTGTTTTTCAGCACGGAAGTCCAGAAGTATGTGGCTCTGTGCGATATCATTTTTGTCAGCGTCAACACCCCCACAAAGACCAGGGTACGCACATCTGTCTTACTGTGCATCTTCCTTGGGTTATAGGTCCGTACTCTCGTTTTCCAGTGAGGATGTTTTTTTTTATCGATTTCTCACGAATATTCTTGGTGGCTGCAGGGTCTAGGAGCAGGAAAGGCCGCCGATTTGACATACTGGGAAAGCGCCGCCCGCATGATTGCAGACGTTTCAAACTCTCCCAAGATTGTATGTTTCTGATCTTGGAAAAAGAGCATGAATGGCTGTTCTGAGCTTCGTCTGGTGTAGACAGATTCCGCACGATGTGTTTCGTTCAACCAATTGATGTTTCTCCTCATGTGAATTTCAGGTTGTGGAGAAGTCAACAGTCCCTGTGAAGACCGCAGAAGCCATTGAGAAGATCTTGACACACACCAAGAATGGTGTCCAATTTGATGTAAGCCAAGCTTTCTTATTTTCCTCTTTTTCGTTTGTAAAGGTGAATAAGGGGCCAGCGGGAAATGTTTCTGATTTGAGAATCCCGCGTGACCATCGGTGTTGAAATGGGCAGATTCTGTCAAACCCGGAGTTTCTTGCTGAAGGAACGGCCATGGACGATCTACGGAAGCCTGACCGCGTCCTCATCGGTAAGCAATACCAGCCCGCAACTTCACATCATCCAGTCGCCGCGAAACCAATCGTAAACATTTATCACTCAAAATCTACTAGAAAGAAAAAAAAAAACAAGGTCGAGCCCTGCCTCCGGAAGAACTGCACCGAATAACATTGCAACTCGCTCGTTTCCTCCTACAGGTGGTCAGGAGACGGAATCTGGTCGCAAGGCCATGGCTGCGCTGAAGGCAGTGTACGCCAACTGGGTGCCTGAGGAGAACATTCTCACCACCAACCTCTGGTCCGCGGAGCTGTCGAAACTCGCAGCCAACGCGTTCCTCGCGCAAAGGATCTCCTCCATCAACGCCATCTCTGCCCTCTGCGAGGTACGACCCCGCTACAGCCTGGCGTGGCCCTCAATCTCTGCCCCTGCTCCAGCTGATCGTAACGTGTCTTCATTTCCACTGTGGCTGCTTAGTGTTTTACTTCTTCTCATTCTCATAACTTCCGCTTGCTTATCTGCAGGCAACGGGTGCCAACGTGTCGGAAGTGGCCTTCGCCATCGGCAAGGACACTCGCATTGGCAGGCGCTTCCTCCAATCCAGCGTTGGCTTTGGTGGCTCCTGCTTTCAGAAGGTAAGCGCTTTATCAATAACTAACCGATAATCCTGAAAGTACTATTTGTGCCTTCTAGCCAGTGGTGCTATTGCCGCCAAGTTTCTAACGTTTTTTTTTTGGCCCTGTTTCAGGATATTTTGAACCTGGTGTACATCTGCGAGTGCAACGGGCTCACAGAGTGCGCCAAGTACTGGCAGCAGGTGATCGACATCAATGACTACCAGAAGAACCGCTTCGTCAAGGTGCGTTGCGACGTTCCACTTAAGAAATGGAACACTGCACCCTTTGATGTATCCTGCTAGGCTGTTGGAGCTGGAATTCAGAGCAGATAGTCGTGTCGTCCATGTTCAACATGGCATCGGGCAAAAAGATCGCCATTTGATTTGATCTCATATCGACTGCCTTGTCTTGTCCTGTCTTACCCCGTGCAGAGGATCGTGTCGTCCATGTTCAACACGGTGTCGGGCAAGAAGATCGCCATCTTCATGTGTCGTGCTCACAACGTGAAACCCGCCTGTTGCCTGTGTTCCCCGCCCTGTTCAGAGGATCGTGTCGTCCATGTTCAACACGGTGTCGGGCAAGAAGATCGCCATCTTCATGTGTCGTGCTCACAACGTGAAACCCGCCTGTTGCCTGTGTTCCCCGCCCTGTGCAGAGGATTGTGTCGTCCATGTTCAACACGGTGTCGGGCAAGAAGATCGCCATCTTCGGGTTCGCATTCAAGAAGGACACTGGCGACACTCGCGAGACGCCCGCCATCGACGTGTGCCACGGGCTGCTCAACGATCGCGCGTACCTCCATATCTACGACCCTGAAGTCACGTACGTAGCGAGCTAATAAGCCTGGGGTGTGCCTGATGTCAGGAGGGGCTGTCATGTCACTTACGAAGAGATTGGGGGGTGCGGGGGCTGAAGTCACGTACTTCTGAGGCGCCTCAAAAGCGACATGTGCCACGGACTGCTCAACGACCGTGCGTACCTCCACATCTACGACCCCGAAGTCACGTACGTACCTTGTTATGAGGAGTGCTAGAGTCACGTATGCTTGGGGAAACGTACATACCCCCTCAGACAACATTCCTCCCATCTCTCAGACAATTTCCCCCACCCTTCAGACAACATTTCCTCCACCCCTCAGACAACAATTCCCCACTCCTCATTCAACTCCAACCCCATCCCTCAGTCAACGCCCACCCCCACCCCAGTCAACGCTCCCCCACCTCTCAGTCAACCGCTCCACTCCACCCCTCAATTACCGCCCTCGGTCAACAGCCACCTTCCTCAGTCAACAGCCACCGTCCTCAGTCAACAGCCACCGTCCTCAGTCAACAGCCACCGCCCTCAGTCAGGAGCCACCGCCCTCAGTCAACAGCCACCGCCCTCAGTCAACAGCCACCGCCCTCAGTCAACAGCCACCGCCCTCAGTCAACAGCCACCGTCCTCAGTCAACAGCCACCGCCCTCAGTCAACAGCCACCGCCCTCAGTCAACAGCCACCGCCCTCAGTCAACAGCCACCGCCTTCACTCCAACAGCCATTGTTGACATGAGATGCAGGAGCTAAGCTAGATGATGGAGGTCACAAAGACGATGCCACGGACACAGGATCAGGGGCTGCTGTTCAGAGTTTAGAAGGGCTTGGGGACAGGGTTTTGCAACGGAGGTTTCACTGTGGTGTCAGAGGCTTTTAGCAGTCTCTTATGCAACAGAAGTTTTCACTGTCGTTTCTTGCTTCGTTCCCCTCGTCCTTTACCCTCATAAACCCCACCTGATCCGCAATCACCCTCCCAACCCTTCCCAAATCCCACAGTGAGGAGCAGATTCGGCGGGACTTGGGCACGGGCAAGTTCGAGTGGGACCACCCACTCCCAATGCAGTCCCCCACCTCAATGGACGCCTCTTCACGTGTCACAGTGGACGCTTCCCCCTATGAAGCAGCCAAGGACGCGTCATGCATCGCAGTCATCACCGAGTGGGACGAGTTCAAGACACTGGATTACCAGAAGCTGTACGACGGCATGCAAAAGCCCGCGTTCATCTTTGACGGGAGGAACATCCTGGACGTGGAGGCGCTGAGGAAGATTGGGTTCATTGTGTACTCGATCGGCAAGCCGCTTGATCCCTGGGTGAAGGACCTGGCCATCTCGATCTAAATACACGGGGTTGTTGATATCTTACTCTTCATAGACGTACTCTTTGTAGACGTGTGAAGGTTGGGAAACTGGGACTGCCTGGGTTTGTGGATGAATATGGTATGGGTGCGCCCCATTGTTTACCCTACTGGGGTTGTGTACAACTGTTGGCCTCTTAATCCTTACTTTGGATGACTACACCACAAGCAGTGATAACTTTCTGTTGTATTAACATGATTGAGTTCAAACTCACTTGTTAGCAATCAGAGTTCAGTCGGTCTTGTTAACTTGGTGAGCATGCAGCTCTTTTTAGGCTGCAGCTGGAGTGAGACTCTGCTTCCAGCCATGTGCAGTGGAGACAGCCAGACCCCGATGTAATTTATCCCAAATCCTTTCTCACTGTTACAAGCACCAGCCGCGGTCTGCCTGCTACCACCTTAGCAGCCTGCTTCAGGTTTACTCTGGTGCAGCCAGACACATCCAGCAGCTGAAGCTTCTTGCATGCCTTGACTGCACTGCTTACACTTGCCTCAGTAAGCTGCCAGTGGGACAAACACCAGTTGAGCGGAATCAGGCAGCAGAGTGGGAGAGAAAGAGCAGAAGTTAGCAGCTTTCTTGACGTTTACTCTGATGCAGCCATATACGTCCAGCAGTTGAAGCTTCTTGCATGCCTTGACTGCACTACTTACACTTGCCTCAGTAACCTGCCAGTGGCGACAGAGATACGAAACATTTTCCGTACACCAGAATCAAAGGGCAGAGTCGGAGGAGGACCACGTCAGAGAGAGAGAAACGGAGAGAGTGAGAGAGAGGGCTGATAAACGAAAATAGAACTGCAAAGTTGGGGAGGGAGAGGCAGGGTTGTAGAAAGAGCTGAGTCAGGAGAAGGGGAAAGTCAGGGCGTTACTGACTCACCTGTATGCAATCGCACAGCAGCAGTTTCAGGAGGTTAGGGCAGGCAGCCACTATGCAGGCAACGCCCGGGTCAGCGAGCGAGCAGCTGGTGATAGAGAGAACCTTGAGGGAGAGGAAACGGTATGGGGACTTGGAGGGAGGCGGATGGGAGGAAGGAGAGGCGGATGAGAGGGGGGAGGAAGAGGATGAATTGTGTTCACGAAGTGGGGATGGAGAGGAGGAGGTGGGGTTGCGATTGGGAAGAAGAGAAGGAGGGGGGGACGAGGAGGCGGGAGTAGGTGCAGCGGGGGAGTGGGAGGAGAGTCCTGTGCCCAGGAGATAGTCTGAAAAGAGGTGGAGCTCTGAGAGTGACGGACAGCTGGCGGCCAGCGATTGGAGCGATGCGTCTGTCACGGTGCAGTCGATCTAATGAGTGGGGAAGAGCAGGGAGAGGGGAGAAGATGGGAGGGCAGAGGGAGGGCGCTAAAAAACACTTATTGGTTTCTGGGAACTCGTTTTTATGTCTAAAAACTCGTCTGTCACATAGCACAACGGAACAAATTAGGAGCGCAGATGTGGTGAGGGGTAGGAAGGGGTTGTAAATAGCAACTGGTTTGAAGGAGGGGGAGAAGCCTAAACCCTAGACTGGAAAGTAACATGAGAAGCGGAAAAAAAAAAAAACAAAAAAAAAAAAAACAAAAAAAAAGTCAGACTGCCACAAATTCCTTCTGAGAAGCATGCAAGCATAGCCACTCACATCCAGCGCGCCAGCGACTTGGAACATTCCGAGAATCTTCGCGTAGCGTTTTTTGGAGCCAGGATCGAAGCGGAGAGACGTGAGGCTGGGGCAGGCAGCAGCGATGGCGGAAATTACTGTGTCTGACATGCCGAAATAGGGCAGCACGAGGGATTCGAGTGGTGGTGCGTGAGTTGAGGTTCTGGGAGGAGTGTGAGCCGAGGCAGTGGCGATGGTGGTGGCGGTGGCAGAAGGGAGAGCAGTGGGGGCAGTGGGAAGAGGAGGATTCGTGGCAAGGGGAGGAGCAGGAGAAGCAGCGGCAGAAGCTGGTTCTGGTGCTGGCGCTGCTGACAAGACCAACGCAGCAGCGCCATCACTAGCACCACCGTTTCTAGCAGCGACAATGTGGCTGGCACCAATAACACCAGTTGCTGTGCCAGAAGGACCTCCACCAACCACACTCGGCACTTCAATCGGCTTGGTGCGAGGAGAAGCAAGAGCTGCGAGGCGAGAGAAGATGCCCGGGCTTCTGGGAGTCAGGACTCGTCTGTGAGGTGAGGGAGACGGCGTGCCGGTGTGAGACGAGGGAGAGGGCGTGGTGGTGGGAGCGCCGGGGAGGGCGTTCACAGCGCTGCTGCTGCTGCTGCTCGTGGTGAGGTGTGAGTTGGTTGTTGAGGGAGTGGGGGAGAGGAGGATGCGTGATGTGGTTCCGAAGTTGATGCGTCGGAGAGAGGGACAGGCGAGCGTGAGACTGCATGAGTCGGGGTGGGGAGAAGGGAAAGAGAGCGGGGGAGAGGAAAGCTGAGTGTTGCATATGAGGAAGAGAGGGGAGGGGGAGAGAAAGGGATTCTTGACGTGGTGCCAAAGTTGATGCAGCAGGTAGGGACGTTTGAGTCGATTTCCAAAGGGGTTTCACAGCAGCATGTGCATGTGCTCACCTTTCAATCCACGTGGCATGGATGATCTGATTCGCCTGAAAGTACGCAGTCAGTGTCTGGAGAGCAGGCAGCAACTGGCCAGGTGAACCTGCAGTGGTAACAGCAACTGCAGCAGGAGGTGCAGCAGCAGCTGCAGTCATAACAGCAGCAGCAGCCGTAACAGCAGCAGCAGCAGGAGGAGGTGCAGTAACAACAGGTGCAGAAGCAGATCGATGAAAACCAGCAAGGGGAGTCCCTGCTGCTGCTGCCCCAGACCTTCTCTTCCCTCCTGCCTTGTCCTTTCCTTCAGATATCCCGCCCTGTATCGATATAAGCCCCTCTATCCAGTCAGCTAGAAGGGGGCTTTGGCCGAGGTCGAGGGATTGCAGGGAGGGAAGGTGGGCGAGGATGGGGAGGCAGAGGGATGGGCGGACGGCATGGCAGGCGTTGAGGCGGAGGGAGGAGAGGGCGGGGCAGTGGGCAGCGAGGGAGGCGAGACCTACGTATGAGATCTGTTTGGATTGAGGGGAGGGGGATGGGGTTGGGGCGGGGGGGTGTGGCAGAGACAAGGGAGCAGAGGGCATGGCAGGCGTTGAGGTGGAGGGAGGGAGGAGAGGGCAGGGCAGTGGGTAGCGGGGGAGGCGAGGCCCATGTGTGAGATCTGCTTGGAGAGGTGGGGTGGAACAGACATGAATTCACGGAGAATTCGCAGGTGGAGGGAATTGAAGACAGTGATGCGGAAGGAGTGGAGAGAAGAGAAGACCATTTGTGTGCACAACATCCCGGGTTGGTTTCTGAGAATTCTCAATTACCGAGCACAACATCCCCCCACTCATGTGGGAAAAGGAGGTGTCGAGGTGAATGAAGCATTTTGAGGCGCCTCAGAATGTATTATGAGGCGCCTCAAAACAAGAAGACTCATGTGGGAGAAGGAGGTGTCGAGGTGAATGAAATGAAGCAGGGGCAGCAGGAGGGTATGGTGGCAAAGGCAGGGCGGCGAGGGGAATAACTTTAAGAAGCATGGAATGGACGTATAAAACGAAATGTTTCACCTGGGAGAAGGAAGCGTCGAGATGCATGAGGCGCGGGCACGAGGAGGCGATGGTGGCAAAGGCAGGGTCTGCGAGCTTGGTGCTCCAACTCAGATCGAGACGAGTTAGGTGTGGGAAGGACGAGAGGAGCGGCCCGAGGCTCGACTCCCGGACCTGAAAGCAGGTACGAAGAATGCAGGTACGCAAGATGTATGCAAGTACGGATAATCAATGAATGCAGGTATGGAAAGTGCATGCAGGTATGAAGGTGACTGTGCTTTTGAGAATTTCCAAATGCAGGTTCCAAAAGGATCTCCAGAAGTGGCTCAGCGCTCACCTGAGTAGGAAGAGAGAGCGTCTCCAGCATCTTGCAATTAGCCGCAATTGCCTCTAACCCTTGAGTCAGCTTCCCGTGATGCACCTTCACTTTGAGAGTCTTCAACCCAGCACAGACTCCCCCCACCCCTGCCAACACCGCGTCTGTCACCCCCTTCTGGTCTGTCAAATTCAGGGTAACTAGCCCCGGGCAGTGCTGGCCAATGAGGGCGAGACACGTGGCAGGGAGCTGCGCGGTGGGGAGGATGGTGAGGGCGGAGAGGGAGGGGCCGGCGCGGGCGAGGAAGGAGGGGAAATCGGAGGGGCGCTTGGGGGGGGCGCGGATGGAGACTGATGGGCGGGCGCGCACTGCAAAGGAGGGGAAGAAAGAGAGGCGGAAGGGGGAGGTTTGGAAAGTAGAAAAGGTATTGAAGGAGGCGAGGAAGGAGGGGAAGTCGGAGGGGCGCTTGGGAGTGACGCGGATAGAGACTGATGGGCGGGCGCGCACTGCAAAGGAGGGGAGGGGGAAGGGGGCGGGGTATTTTTTGGAGAGGGCGGGGCCGGCGCGGGCGAGGAAGGAGGGGAAGTCGGAGAGGTGCTTTGGGGGGACGCGGATGGAGACTGACGGGCGGGCGCGCACTGAGAAGCAGAGGGTGGGACGGGAGGCGGGTGGGGGACTGGAGCATGAAAACAGCAGCCGGGGGAAGGAAAGCAGTAGCTAAAGCGAAACAAGGAGGAAATTAGTTTCGGAAAGCTTCATCGCTTTCGTGAAACCAACGCGCTCCCACTCAGTATCTCAACCTACCGGCTAGCCGGTAGAGCGAGCTGCAGGTGGCCCTCACGGCTGTCAGATCTGCCGGTTTGAGCATCTGGAGCACCTTAACCCACACGTCCCCTGGTAGCCCCCCAAAGCTGAGAGTCCTCTGATTCCTCTCCTGCTCCTGCTTCAACTCATGCTTCAACTCATGCTTAAACTCATGCGCATGATCATGCTCGTGCTGATGCTCATGCTGCTGTGAATCATGCTCGGAAAAAGAATTACCACCACCATCACTATCACCAAAACCGCCACCACTGCCGCCAGCACCAGAAGCAGCAGCAGCAGCAGCAGCAATGTGTGACAGGGGAAGAATCAGAGTGCAAGTCTAGCACAAGCACGTCGGGTGGCGAGGACCTTTCTTCTCCTCTCTCAGGGTGTTCTAGCACCTTGCCCCCTTCGGATGCCGCTCCTTCTCCTCCTCCTCCTGCTGCTGCTGCTGCAGGAGCGCCAGGGCTGGTATCCAAGTTGAATGGCCAGCCACGACTGTTGGAAGCAGCAGCAGCAGCAGCAGCAGCAGCAGCAGCAGCTGGGGAGGAGGCGGCGGCACCAGGAGGAGAGGAACCCGTCGCATGGGTACCAGCAGTGGCAGCACCATCGTGGCTGTTGCTCCTGTGGTGTGCTTCTGCCCCAGAAGGGGGCTTGGATGTGTTCTGCCGCCGGCCTTGTCTGCCGCTTGATGGCGCAGTGGCTGGGGTTGTGGGGAGGAAGATCGGGGGGGGGGAAGAGGGGGAACGGACAGGTTCAATTCAAAGGCAAACATTACTAGAGGGGGGCTTTGCTGTGTTCTGCTGCCTGCCCTGTCTGCCACTTGATGGCGCAGTGGCTGGGGTTGTGGGGAGGAAGAATGGGGAGGAAGAGGGGGGACGGGCGGGTTCAATTCAAAGGCAAACATTACTACAGAGGGGGGCTTTGCTGTGTTCTGCCGGCGGCCTTGTCTGCCACTTGATGGCGCAGTGGGTAGGAGAAAGGGGAGGGGGAGAGGGTGGAGAAAGGGAAAGAACAGGGGAATTGGATTAGAGGAATCCAATCATTCTCACATTTAGAAGGGGTCTTTGCTGTGTGCTGCTGCCGGCCCTGACTGTCGATTGATGGTGCCATAGCGGAAGGAAGGAAGAAGGGGGGAATATAGTTGTGCGGTCAGTATGTACTACGAATGACAGCACTAGGACCCATAGCCAAGCAGGTGAGATGAACCATGCAAGTTTCCTTCCTTTCTTTATTCCTTTCATTATTTCTTTTGTTCTTTATTTCTTTCTCCCTTGCCGTGTCAGTAGGAAAACTGAAAAAACGTTAGTAGGCTTTCATTGCGGGACAACAGCAACTTGTGAACATTTTCAGGGATGAAATGAGCCTGAAATTGGAATATGAAAGCACGTCAGCAGAAGGCAGGTTCCCTTCGTACCTGGTCGTGACGTCAGCAGAGAGCTGCTCGCGGCGGCAATGCCTCTGCTACGTACGGCGGCATCCCGTGCAGCAGGATCATTCATCGCATTTTCATAATCTCCGTTGTTCACTGGGGATGCGGCGGATGCGCCGCATCCGGCGGATGCGGACGCCGACGTCTTGTTCGCCTCAGGCTGACGCGAGCCCGCGTGACGCAGCTTTGAGGGAAGAAAGGACCGCGGCATTGTTACGTTTCGGCGCGAACAGGCGCAAGGAAACCAGGCGAGAGGAGCGCAACTTGAAAACAGGCGACAGGTAGTAAGCAAATAAGCAACAGGTCGGCGAGCAGATCAACACGAGTCAGTCTAATTTTCGTCTCACTAAGTTGGCTGAGAATCTCCTATCGTGTAATGCTGTCAGATGTGTCAGATTCGCTACGCTTGCCGCGTCCGAATGTGCAGTAGTAGGGGTCGAATTAGGGGATTCGGGAACCACCACCCTCTCCCGCAATATTCACACGTTTTGCCTCACAAGACGGAAATCCCAATCCGGTTGCAATGGCGGTACCGTAAGTGAGATTCAGCAAGGAGGGGAGAAGGGTGGTGGTGGTGAGGTGAGTCAAGGGTGACCCATTAGCAGCACTCGTTAGTTGACTCAGAATTTTCTTGGGAGTTATTATGGCTCTTGACTGATAAGCAGTCGTGTAGCGGGACGTCGAGTCAGGAGCCTCAGGTGCCTGCCGTCCGAATGTACCTCAGACAAGGTTCTCCGCCACCTTAACGGTCTGCAAGGTAGATCAATACCGTCATTACCCGAATTTAGTCAAAGGCATACTTACGATAAAGAGAGGAAATATTTTGCAATGAATATATACATATATTTTTTAAAGTGAATAAATAATCTGGAACCCACCTTATATTTCCTTCTCCCTCTTTCCCTTTTCCTCTTTCTATCCATAATTACTGTACAACTGATCCACAAGACGATCTGCTTTTATACTGTAAAATCCATATTGATGGAAAAACCAATACTTGTGTGAATGGTTACATCCCTAATTTCTCTGCATAGGTGAGAGTATATGCTCGTGCGAAACTGAACTTGTGCTGTTACAGACTACACCATTTGCTCCCGCCGCAAGGGTGGGGAACAGCATGCCAATCTTCCTCCGCAACCCCCCCGCCCGCTTTCGGGAGGCATCCGCCGCAACCCCGGCCCATTCACGACGCCATTCACCACCCACCCAAATCCCCCCCGACCCTCTCCCCTCAACCTTTCCCCCCGACCTCTCCCCCCAACCTCGTTGTGAGAGGCCAAAACCCTGAACTCAATCCATTCCACTTTATCTTCCCCCTGCTCTTCATGGCTCGTCTCTCCCGCCGAACTCGCACACCCCATACCCACTCTCCCTGCTGCGCTCCGTCCACTCGTCTAGCTACTTCGGTTATTTTCATCACATTTTCATCGCCCGCCGTTCCCCCTCTATTCTCCCCTTTCCGTCGTCCTCAATGCACTCGTTGCACTTGCTTTTGAAACTCCTGCTCTCCCTGCTCTTTGGCTCTAACGACAATCGATTGTGACAGTATATCGGGGACACATGATCCCTCGTGATCGTGGTTTCAATCAGCCAGTCGGTCCTTCGTCTCGCCGGTAATGAGCCGTTTCTTTTGTACTGTTGTTTCTCACAGTTATCTGCCAAGGGGATTCCTCTCTTTTCCTGCCGCCGCGTAATCCGCAGCTCGCCTCATTAAGCCAACCCTGCCAGCTGCTTCGGGGGGTCGTGGGACCTCGTTTCGCGATCTGCTTCGGCGGGTCGTGGGACTTGGTTTCACAATCTGCCTCGGCGCGTGGTGTGGTTGGCTGACGTGGCAGAGCTGCTGGTCACACCAACGCGAAGGCTGGTCTCGCGGAGTTCCCGAGAGGGACACGTGGCTCATAGTACCGATGGAATGCTCTTCGCTCGTTCCATTGGCCTCCATGTCCACTCACATTCAATGCTTTCTTCACCATACCTTGCATGCCAAACAGCTCCTTTGCGTTGTTCACGCGCTGTTCCTGCCTGCTGTTCGACTCATGCATCGCTACCTGATTGCAGTGTTTGCAGGTGGTGCGTCCAAGCAAGGTACCCGAGGCCAGATGATGATTTTCCTTCCACGGGATCCGTGTTCATGCTGTCAATGCTCGTTTTAGTGCTATCGTATGTTTCAGCAGTGACAATAAGCCACTAGCATCCCATACGTTGTTGAATTATAATTCATACTATGCGGTTTCCACAGTTTCTGTATGACAAGCTTTGTCAGGAGGAGCATTTCTTTGTTTTGCAAGTCAGTTTTGGGTGGGAGGTAATGTGATGGATGAGGCAGCTATTGTTGTGAACCCATAGCCAGTGAACCACTCAACTAACCGCTTGACCAAGTATGAGCATCCTGAAGAGAGGTTCCTTCTGCCATACATGCCGTGCAATTCCAGTACCTACACTATTGAATAACTGCTCGGATCAGCCGTGGTACAGTAGTACACCACAACATACGGTATCAAATTTTATATCTGGGATGAAGCTTCCTGCTGGCATCATCGGAAGCTTCTGTAGTGAGGGTTGTACATTTTGCTGAAGGCATAGGACAGGAGGTCTGGCGGCCTGGGCAAGTTTGTCGCCACACCTGGGGAGGGGAGCAGGAGGGAGTGACGCACGCGGGGGGCAGAGGATTTCAAAAAATGGGGAAAGATAAGGTGATGGCATGATAGCCGATGTGCCACGCCTAAGTGTTGTCTCACAAGGCATCAACGAGCCCCCTACTCACCTGGCTCTATGGATTTTTTGCACCGAATCAAACCACAAATACGGTGTACCCCTCGGCATGGAACAATATATATCCTACCTGCAACTCACTAATGTCATATGCCTTAATGGCAATGGCCCTCGTGATGTGCTGAGCTTGTTCAGTGTGGCTAAGAATGAGTGCACATGAATGCTTCCTGCCTGCCCTGCCCTCCCTGGTGACTTTTGAGTCGACTCAAAAGTCACGGCCCTCGTGATGTGCACTGAGCTCGTTCAGTGTGGCTAAGAATGAGTGCACATGAGTGCTTCCTGCCCTGCCCTGCCCTCCCTACAGCCCGACAGCTCTCCTCCCAACTCACCGAGGTCATAGGCCTTTGCAGCAACAGCCCTGGCGATGTGTGCTGATATCTGTCGGATCTTCCAGATGGGTGGGTACACGCGCCCCTGCTCCCTGTCATCGTCGCTCACCTGAAAGAAAACATGCATGGGGAAAGTAAGTGAGGAGGGGAAGGGGGAAAGAAGCGAGTGAGTTTTTGGGGTGGGAGTGGGAGCAGGGGAAAATACAAGGGCAGTCACACATGCAAAGAGGTTGCAAAAAACACGAATGAGAAAGTGATTGATTTCGGGCGCAAACAACAAAATCTTCCAAATGTGTGGGGTACACACGCCCCTGCTCCCTGTCATCACAACTTACCTTGATATCGCAGCACCGCATTGATTCTCACCCGTGCCGCCAGTGTCTCAATCGCCCTCACCTGAGCAGCCAGTGCCTCAGCAGCAGCGAGGAACATCTCGTCTCTCATCCTGGTAGCGCCACACATGAGACAACCGAGCCCGATTCCCGGAAACACATACGCGTTGTTGCCCTGCCCGGGGACAAACCGCCCGCCTTTTTCCCAGCTCCCGTCTAAGTAAACTAGGAACACAAGCGTAACCCTATTCCCTCATCTGCTGATGGCCTTTCAGTTGGCTCAAAACATGGGGCATCCTCACCTGAGCAGCCAGTGCCTCAGCAGCAGCGAGGAACATCTCGTCTCTCATGCGTGTGGCGCCACACATGAGGCAGCCCAGGCCGATGCCCGGAAACACATACGCGTTGTTGCCCTGCCCGGGGACAAACCGCCTCCCATCCTTCTCAACCGGGGCGAACGGGCTGCCACTGGCGAATACGGCTCGGCCCTGGTGGGTTGGAGTGGGGTGTGGAGGGGTGGAGTGGGACGTGGAGGGGTGGAGTGGGTGGGCGTGCAGGAAGATATAGTGGTTGCTGCCTAGCTCCACTGGGGGAAACGGGCTGCCACTGGCGAATATGGCTCGGTCCTGGTGGGGGGAAGAGTGATAGGAGAAGGCAAGTGGGGAACACATACATGTTGTTGCCCTTCCCAGGCACAAAGCGTCTGCCACTGGCGAATATGGCTCGACCCTGGTGGGATGGAGTGGACAAAGGTGGGAGGGTCAAGGCAAACCGAGTGAGAGGTGAATAAATGGCAAAAACGCTCACCCATATGATCACAGTCACGTTAGCACGTTCGCATGGGAGCACTCAAATTCACCCACATATAGATCCATCCACCCATCTGAACCCATTCACACACCTGGGTCCACTTGTACGCATCCTCTGCTGTGCACTCGGAGAGCGACGTGGGGTTGGAGAGAGCAAAGATGACAGGCCGCTGGTGGGGGGGGCAAGCGGATGGATTGGAGAGAAAGGAGAGCGGAGGAAATGGATTGGAGAGCAGAATGGATGGGAATCCGACGACGCGGGGGGAGCATCAGGAGTAGCAGGAACAGCAGGAGCAGCAGCACACGGAAACAGCAGCAGCAGGAGGCCAAAGTCTCCGACCAAACAAATTATACCCCTCACCTCACTGAGTTGGGTCATGGCTTCACACACGGGCTGCGTGAACGTCCCTGCTTGCCCTGACACCCCTATCAGCTCCATTGCAATGGGCGCCTAATCTCATAGATTGGAACAGCTTCGAAGGCACCTAAAAAGCATCCCCAGACCTCACCTCGTTGAGTAGGGCCATGGCTTCACACACGGGCTGCGTGAACGCCCCTGCCACCCCTATCAGCGCTGTTGGCCGGATGACACAGCAGCACCAGCTACCCACATCCCTCCCACTTGAACGCATCCCCTGCACTCACCTCGTTGAGTTGGGCCATGGCTTCACACACGGGCTGCGTGAACGTCCCTGCCTGCCCCGACACCCCTACTACCAGCACCATCGCATTAGGGGCGCCTCATGTCATATACTTCCCAGCCCTCACCTCATTGAGTTGAGCCATGGCTTCACACACAGGCTGGGTGAATGTCCCTGCCTGCCCCGACACCCCTACTACCAGCACCATCGCATTAGGGGCGCCTCATGTCATATACTTCCCAGCCCTCACCTCATTGAGTTGAGCCATGGCTTCACACACAGGCTGGGTGAATGTCCCTGCCTGCCCCGACACTCCTATCAGCGCTGT